TATTCAATTTGTATAATGTGCTTTATTTTGTAGTCACTATTTCGTATTCATTAAAATGTATTTTATGATGATTGAATCCTATACGAGAATCTTTTGACGCATAAAGGATTACCTTTAGTAACATATTGTGATAAAACTATTGATGTGCCTATGTATAATAAGCTATATCGTATGGTAAGTAAAAATATTTATTTTTTCAAAACATATCTAAACTCACTTAATGATTAAACGATTGACTATGCATATTGCTTCGTTAACTGAGGATAAGGTAATAAGGGAAGAAGTAATGCATCTTCATGATTATATCATATACCTGATTACTCTGTCAGTATAAGAGCAATCATTATCGTTTTGCCATCCACTACTAGCGATGATAGAGTTAAGAATAGAAATGTACAAGCAATGCTTATTACAGGCTTTAAAAAAATTAATAAAATATTCGTGTGAAATACAAATACTCTTAACTTATCAAAACTCATACAAGTATCTATGATTGCATGAAACCTGTTAAGAAGCAAAGAATCTAAGAACTATGCAGCATAGTAATGAAGAATCGCACACTCATCCTTGCAACCAAATCAAAAGATATTCCGATTGAGCATCTAAACAGACTCCGTTGTAAGTTTGAGCAGTTCAATCGCCACTTAGTACATTTACTCCAACGGTAGCAAGTGAAAAGCATATGCAAACTGCTAGCAATCTATAGCACCCGAACTCAAACTATTGTGTAGATATTTTACAGTTTAGACTTACAGAGATGCTATATCTTTTCGCTTAGTATGTAGAATTTGAGATCAGATCATGTGCACTACCATTTCTATTTTACTGCACTTTTAAGTTGTATTATGGAGACTATTAGTTATTATGAGTATAGTAATAGTACCTCACCAATAGGTAAATCACTTTCTTCTCTTGATTTTACGTTCATCATTCAAAAATCAAGCTCCATTTTGTGGTTGTAATATAAAATTGATTAAGAACTCATAAATGTAGTGTCAGTACTGTATCAAAACATCTTAATATTTATAGTTCTCTGGATATACTGTACCTTATACAGAAAATTAATTTTACTTATACTAATATCAGGTTTTATATTGATATCATTATATCTTTCCTCTGTTCTCATCTTAATTGATACTGTAATCATCTCTCAAGAACAAGTACGATACTTTGCTGGTTATTCACAGCTTTATTTTAGCCGGAATTAAGTGCCTATTCCTAATGTACAATACGTACTTTACCAGAAACTTGAATTGGTTGCTACATAATGTATATGATATAGCTCGTATGCAGTTTCTCTAGTTAATTCATTAATCATTAAGGGTTACGATATGTACTCTGGCATCGTCACCTTGGGCTAGTAAAGCTGGATAAATTGATAAAGTTGATAAGTTAAGCGCTAATGCTGGTACCAACGCATTAATAACTTATAAATTAATCTTTAATAAGCAAAACTTTCATATAAGATATCGAACTTCGCGATCGAAGTAGTTTAAATTCGTATTGGAGTGATCCAACGTTGGCTATTGAAGTAATAGCAAATCATTTAAATCTTTAAGGGCGATCAAAAATTCGATACCTAACGATGCATAATTGAGTCCATTTATGCAAATAGAGGATCCTCTACCAATTAAATGTAAGTTACCAATCACATTTACAGTAGATTTATTTGAAGAGGCAACAGCAAATCACAGAAATATTACAAAGAATATGTACTGCTGTGTTACATCCGACGTCAGCAGTAAATTACCAATTTATATAATTCATGATTACAACAATTTATCTACCAGAAAACATACATACAGTAATATGTATTGTCAGTTTATTGTACTTACATGCAGATATTACTACTTTACTCCATAATAATAAATGCAGTTGAAGGCTCTAAATAACGTTTATGAACTCATTTTAAATAGGCTAGGTAAGATAATACTAATGCAATTAAAATTCCATATGCCAAAGAATGAAAAATGACATTATGATGACAGCCTTTAATACAAAAGCTTGCCTACGTACAATTTTAAAAATTACCATTTTTGTTTTATACTACATTATTTCCACGATTGTAAAAATGACTATCATTGTTCTGATTTGGGATCAGAGGTTTCGCCAGAAATATTTGCTTCACTTATGCAAGTATTGGCAGATTGTGAAATGTTCTCCTCAGCTTCTTGTAGTTTTTGTTCGCGTAAGAATTCTTCGGCAAAATATTTACAAAATTTTTTGTGTGTGAACCAGTGAAATTTCTGACATCTTTGATCGCAATACTTAACCTAAACAGAGTACATATATACGGAAATCGAAATAATTAAAAATCACGAAAGACGCGGCCTTCCACATTGTTAACTCTATAAGTTAATTAATTAGTCTTATTACAATGCAATATGTGAAAATTAATAACCTTTTTACAAGCTGAACATTTCATGTTGGCTCTTTTCTCTCCGCAAGTATAGCAACAATCGCTGAAGTCGGCACTATCAGGTGATATTGAGTATGTTAGATATATTAAGGTGCAGGAAGAAATAATTGTACGTTAATTTTAATTTGTTATCCGAAATTACTACCTTTGATGACCATTAATACCAGTCGTTAAAACGGAAAGAGAAGAAGGATCATCTCCCTATTAGACAAGTAATTTATGAGGTCAAAAGTGATCACCGGTACATATATGCAACTAATCTTGCAGGTTAATAAATTTGGAAAAGCAATATACTGTATATATTTCATTACCAATTTCACTGGAGCGATATTGCGCACTAACTGCACAAATAAGGTAGACTCATGATATGGAAAACTTCTAATCGCTTGCCGGATGAATTGCTCCATCCTTATTTGCACACCATTGGGTTCACTACCCTTTAGTAAACTATTTAAGACAAATAATCACTACAAAGGTTGCACTTAAACAGCCGAAAATTTTGCAAACATGACATGGCGTACTGTTTCAAAAATGCCATAGGTCCATCTTCATGTTTTACGACTGCTTTAATAATGTATGAAAAATAATGCATTCTCATTGACATGATTTCGTTAGTTTCTTGAGCTTTCATACTTCTTTCACAAAGCAGCTCTAACATCGATACAGCAATCTCCCAGTTGTCGACTAGATCTTTGTTATCCATCAGGAAGATAACGATCTGGTAAGAGTGATTCGAAGAAGTAAAAAATGAAATCAGGAAAAAATTATACTCGACGATGAGTTTAGCTTTCTTATGCAAAATACTTTTAGACTTACGCGACAAGGATTCATATTTGAGTTTAGTAGTAATTTATGAAAAATTCGAGCCATTAAAGGTGGTAATTTCGGTTCAGTTTCTAAGCCTGTGAAGATAATTAAATACAGTATTCGCACCCGCAACAAATTTAAAAGAACCCTATATCGCTATCATATTACGAAGCATTTCATTGTTCATGTGATTTAAACATATTTAGTAAAGCTAGACTTTTGATATCAGTAATTTAAATTTCATAGTACAAGCTTTTAACTGTAAGAATCAATTCTAATATTAAAGTTAAGTGATAGTCAGTTTTTATTTTAATTAAATTGCAGGAAGATGTAATTGAATAAGGTTGAGTATAGACACTTTATGAGCAGACTTTAGAAACCGGCTAAGCATTGTGAGCTCTTGCCTATAGGTGAAGTCTTTAATTGGCATTGAGGAACATAATCAAATATGGTAAAAAGTGAATTCTGATGCAGCACTGTTTACATCATAAAGTTATTATACCTGTTGACCAGCACACAAATCACAGCGCGCTTAAGTCCTCATATTATTTCAGAGTGACTAAGGAGAGTCTGTGTCATATTACATTATAGCTTTGAAACTATTTTGCTGTAAATTATAAGATACTTTGTTGTTATTTCATACCGTGTGGCTTTGTGAAATATTCCAATTCTTCAAAAGGCACGAAGCTGTTGATAAAGCTGACAACATGATGCTGCCCTATTATTTGGATGTTTAATGTTATTAAATTCTGATAAATTGTACAAATATTAAGTAACCAGTTTAAGTTTTCAATTATATACCCTAACCCGTATAACGAATAATATGTATTTCTAATGCTTTAATCGTAATTTCCATCCAATATAATTATTAGAATCAAAAGTTTTACAGTAATTGCTAACGTTTCTTGATAGCTGCTAATTAAAACTAAAATAAGTAAAATTATTTTCAAGGAAGATACAGATTTCTGGATAACACTAACAGTAAAGTGCAGCTATACATTTATATTATACGTAAATCTTAGGAACTAGTTTAAACATAGCACGTTGAACATCATCTAGATGATATATAAAGCCAGCCTATGAGTTTAGATATGTAAAATGGTATTTGTATCATAATTATAAGGTACATAGAGTAATAGACTTAATATAACATTTATACAACCTATCATTTAACGCAAAATAAATTTAAGGCGTAACTGCTTTAGTGATTAATTCTCAAACTCTTGTATTACTAATTCATAAAATTTACTAAAATTGCACATCATGTACTAGACGTGATAATAACTTTACAATCAATAAGAAATTATAATATAATTAAATATAATTATAACACTGCATTTATTATAGAAGTAACAAATGTATTTTGGCTACAAATCACTTTTGTTTAGTATATACGTATTACTTAGAGTCTTTGGTAATAATATACTGCAAGTGCTACTCATACAAAATTTGCAGCACATGAAAGTGCTACTACTTTAGTTAATCACTAACCAACAAAGGCGCCAAGTTGCGACGCTGTTCGATTGACTTTATTTGTAGCTTTTGTCGAGGCACCAGCTTCAAGTAGCACCTTAGCAGTTTCCACTGAGCCTGTATACACGTACAGTATATAAATTTATATAAAACTTTATTTTAGCAACAGGCTATACATTAGATATTACTAGATCTTATTCCATGTAAATTTTATAAGTAAACTAAAGAGTTTCATAATTGGGAATGTAATTGCCTTACCGGCTAAGGCAGCAAACATCAAAGGCGTGTACTTAAATATATGAAATACATTAGAAAAAGAAAGGTTAGTATTCGATACCGACATTATAATATTGAAATGATTAGCCTTTGCAAATACGAATTGTAGTAATATTCGAGCATACCTGATATTCATGGTTGTTACAATTTACATTAGCGCCATTTTTTATTAAGAGATCACAGAAGTTTGCATTTCCTTTATATGCAGCATGCATCAGGGGGGTCATGCCAGTCTGAAAATGTTTCAATATGAAAGAGATAAGCATTAATAGCAGGCTTGTAAGATTTTAAAGAACGAGTAAGTTATTGTTATAATTTCTACTATTTCATCCTTTATTACTGTATCCAAAAGCCGAGAATTGAATCAGCATTTGAACAGTTTTTGGTGATCTTTAAAACAGTTACATCCGCTACATGTATTTCAGTGGTGTAACTCATAGGGTACCTCAAGCCCTGTAAAATGCATACGTACGCAATGCATTACAATTCACTAGAGAGGCGTACAGTATGATTAGTTCTTATATTAATGCCAAAATGGAGACATTACAATACGGTATTCGGAGGGCCTACTCATGATACTGCGTGAAAATCGAAATCAACTTTAATACATAATAATATCATCGATAGGGATTATTGCACGTACAATTATATTAGAGTCTAAATAGAATACGGGTATATATTACCTCGTCGCAGCAATCAATGGAAACGTTGGATTCACATAGTAATTGTCGAACTATTCCTTCGTCACCTTTCCAAAGAAAGATTGAATTAACATAGTAATGGAAGCAAATACATTACTTATGGTCGCATCCTAGCAGGGCCAGGCTACTACAGGAAATCATTTACTGTACAGTATATACATATCATAGATATCACATTAATTGCTAATCATAAATATCGGTTATTAATATTAATTAAGAAATGTGTAATTCGGGTCTAATAAAGTCGAGTGGAAATACAAAAGAATCGGCTGTACATTGTACCGTACTACGATCATCAAAATTATAATGTAAAGAATATTGCTCCTAATAACGCACTGCTGTAGTGTATAACACTGTATACTGGCAGTGTTATAAAACGTATAATTCATATTCATGCTCTTTGTAAGAAGCAAATGGTATTGTACAACAACGACGATTTAATCAATCTTCTCAAAAAATAACCATACTAATTATGCTGTACAGTAATTATACAGTAAACCTATAACAGTAAATACCTACCTTTAGATACTGCTTGAATTAGACTTTTTTCATTTTCATTTAAATCCATAATTTTGAAGTTGCTTTGAGAGACTGAATTTTCTTTGGTTTTATGTCTAGCAAGCGCACAGTGCAAGATGTGCAGTAATGTGCAGCCTATAGAGTGTACAGTACAGTAAAAGAGAAGGACCCTGTACTGTACAGTGTACAGTATTGTACTGTAGATTTTTCTGTTATCTCTATAGTTTGGCCTAAAGGCAGTACTGGACACTGAACAGTACAGTACAGTACAGTACTGCACAAAGGGATATTGTCAATCGTGTACAATGCACAGTACTGTGAACAAATAAAGTACTGTACACTGTACACTGTAAAGTACATATTGTACTGTACAGCGTACGGTACAGTATGTACATTGTACAGTACTGTACATGATGACTAACAGTAGAGTAGAGTACAGTACAGTATACTGAACTGTACTCTACAGTAGTATTAATTCCTAACTGTCTGTTTTAACCAATAACCAGTAATAAACTATAGTTTTAGCCGCTGTCTGTCTGTCATTTATTTCGTTAATTAATTAATTTTCCTAAATAATAAAATAAGTAGAATAAGAAACCTGCTTCCGATTACTTAAATTTCACAAATACTACTTATCATATTACATAAGATAGTAGAGTATACTATTTTGATCATTTCATGCAATGACTAATTATAATTAAAAGTAATTAATCGTTATAAGGCCAGAAGACATACGACGTAAATAAATAAATAAATAATATACCCTTACATATATGGTCTACTGTACAAGTGTATACAGTATACATTGTAACAATTAATTCATTAATTACTAAGACCAATTCCATTTCTTCTAGCCTTCTTTATAGTATTATTATACGAGAGAGCTCAATATTAAAGATGCATTAAGTTATTAGATATCATAATTTTACGGTGAGTCAGTTGAAAAATTTTATTAGTCTCACAAAATGGACACATGAGACTAACGTTGCTAAAAAATTTCAAATTACTGTATTAAATGTAACTTTATTTTCAACTTTATCTTGGACCTTGGAGATGAGTAACACTACTTAAATCAGGTTGAAAGTAGTAAATTTGTAACTGTAGGCACAGAACTGTTCTGCTCGCTTTAAGTTCAGCTCTCAAATCCTTTGCATTAGGTAAAGCTTGCAAATTATGCTGTAACCTTTAATTTAGCGGCTCAGACCAATGGAGGTTCCACAAGAATGAGTTTAATTGCTGTTGTACGACAGATATGGAGGCTACTTTTAAAGTTTGATGTGTAAATCTTCTGTTCGTACAGCGTGGCATGTGGCACGCTAATACTGTATAGAGCGTATTCTGTGGATTACTTGCATATAGCCATTATATTTCTTGGTCGTTTTGACTTATATTGTACATTGTCATAATAAAATGTATTTTGTCAGGCAGTTTCTCCGGAATAAACCTCAACTCCTCTACCCTATTTAATGAGGATCTCCCATCAGTAGCTGATTTTACAGCACGTCACTTTCAAAGTCACATTTTTATGGACGAAACAAGTTGACAAGTGCCCGATTAAATTTTATTCTACGAACTTATCTTCACCGCTATTATCGTAGGTAGTGGTGAATGATGTTCTAATATAACTTTTCATTTGTAAAATCTCCATCTTCTATCATACGAAGTGAATAAAATTGTACTGAAGAATATTTGTGGTTTATACCAACATATCTCGCCAGTCAATCAGTCCTTTAATGATAATAATTCGTATGGAGATTGACCAATATTTTGTTGGTGCTAGTTTATATTTACACGATATAAAACTTTATGACGGTAATACTGTTAAGTCAGGAATTACAATTAACCGCGTGGTTATACTGGGCAGTACTATACTGTATGACTGTATGATTTTAGTATCTTCGGCTATTTATTATTCCACTACGAATCTCAAGCCAACTCATATAAGTCTCATATTCTGAAATTATCGAGAAGCAGCATTTACCTAAACCATACAGTGATTTCAAAATAAATTTGTTCTTGAGGACGATGAATGACTACTGTACTTCATCAGTTACCTCTTTTTTTGTGCAGACTTCATAGCACCGATGCATCGGTAGCAGTTGATTACATGTCCTTATTGTTTAATTAAAAACCATTGGTACTTTTCTGTAAATGTTCATAAAAAGATAACAGCAGGTCTGTGTTTATAGCACAGTACAGTACAATGAGTACACCTTAAAATCTGATCTTAATCACGATAGCATGGATATACTGTATAACATATCGTATATTATTTCGTATACTGTATTCATACAGTCCATAAATATTCTTGTACGTACATACCTATATATATATAATACTCTTATCAATACTTCCTACCACGTGAAAATTTTTTGCTAATATGCAAGTCAAATGACAAATTTCGGTGGAGGATAAGCACATATACTCGATGATTATAAATCTAAGTTTCTAAATTTGTAAAGTAGTATGTAAGGATTCGCATATACGGAAATTCAATACTATGCTGTAAGTTTTTGTTTCATTCAAATTTAAAAGAAGTACCGTGTAAATGAGTTGTCAAATATAAAAATATAATTCTATACAATATCAACAATTAATTCATATTTTAGTGCCATAAGCTAAATCGCCAGCATCTCCAAGTCCAGGAACAATATAAGACTTCTCATCAAGTACTTCGTCGATAGCACCTAGCCATATAGTCAGCATGGAAGAAGGAATCTTACTAGTAATATTTTGTAGTCCGACTTTGCTTGCTATTAAGCTGACTAGATGGATGTGCGCAGGTGGGCCTAGCTTACAAATTGCATCATACGCCAACAATAGCGACGATCCAGTTGCTAGCATAGGATCCGCTAATATAACTACTCTATCTTTCAAACAAGGAGAAGCTATATATTCAACCTTGACTTCAAAGCCATTCTGATTTTCACGGTCTTTTCGATATGCCGAAACGAATCCGTTATCTGCATTGTCAAAGTAATTTAAAATACCTTGATGCAAAGGTAAGCCAGCTCGCAAAATAGAGACTATCACCGGTTCATTGATCAAAGACGGCATTTCCACATTTCCTAAAGGAGTAGTAACACGCCTGTGGCTATATTCTAAAGTTTGACTGATGTGATAGGCAAAAATTTCTCCTAAACGTCCTATATTACGTCTAAATTTAACCCGATCTTTCTGAATCTTATGATCTCGAACTTCAACCAAGAATTGGCTAAATAGGGACGGTTCATCGCCTAAAACGTGGATATTTCCGTTGTGATTTTCATCCATCATAATTAATGTAGTGAAATAGCTTCGTAAAAAGGCCAACCGACAAGTTTAATAACACAATAATCTAGTAGAATATTATGATATGGTCACAAAATACAAAACTTAGCAACAGTTGAACAGTGAAGTTAATTCGGCCAGGAGCTAACAACAGCAGAAACCCTTAATTGCACCACTGCACCTGTTCATTGAAAGGTTGTAATTAAGATTTCCCACATGCTCTCGTTAAATATGATCAGTACGTATCACTACTACAGTCACAGTACAGTGTACACTACAGTACAGTGCATGTTCGTTAGTACAGTACAGTACAGTATACTGTACTGTACTGTACTCGTTACACCCGGTGACCTACAGTACTGTATAGTACTGTACTGTAATGTAATGCTGGACTTGCCACCTGATTTCGTGCGAAATCACAACTGTACAGTACAGTACATTGTACTGTAAATATCACGTGGCATCTACTCTACCGTACTGTACGGAACGGCATGTTTATTTAATTCTTTAGATTTTTTGGATAGCTAAATACTGTACTGAGTACGTTATACAATGTACTGTTCAGTACAATGTACAGTACGGTAGAGTAGATGCCACGTGATATTTACAGTACAATGTACAGTACTGAACTGTACTGTACTGTACTGTACCTTAACAATTCTTGCATGGACAGTTGGGGCTAAGTTTAAATCTATCAACATACAGTACTGTATATAAAAAAATTCAGCTCTCTAGCTAGATGTTGGTATAAGGTACAGTATTTGAATAGTATGTTAGTTCAAATCATACTGTATTTTTTCCCTTTTTCTATATCTAAAGAGAAAATAAACGTGTTTGTAGTGAGTAGTGACCTACAGTAAAGTACTGTAAAGCGCTACTGTCAAATGTCAATGCACGCGACATGTCACGTGTTTATTGCTTGACATTTTAACCTTATTCAGCGATGAACAGACAGACTGCTGTTATTACGGCGTGATTTTTAGCAATTGAACTGACTGTATAGTACAATGTACTGTACTGTAAGAGCTCATCACACCTCTGAAATACAGTACTGTAGTGGTCTGTTAAGCTATGGACCATTGAAAAGGTTTCAGTGGTAAATCTTTCAGTAGTCCCTGGTGGTACTGTGTTGATTTGGAATGATTTACAGTATAGCACGCATGACCAACCTCTTTACAGTACAGTACGCATGACCAACCTCTTTATAGTACAGTACAGTACGCATGACCAACCCCTTTACAGTACAGTACTTTACTGTACACTGTACAGTACAGTGTACAGTACTGTACCTGTAATTTATACTACACAATGCACAGTACTGTACTACTGTAGATGATACTATACTGTACTGCACGTACTGTACATACAGTACAGTACTGCACCTACAGTACCAACACAAACTTCTTTACAGTACTGTATTTGACAGCACTGTAAAAAGAAGAGTTCTTTTTCGCTCCTCGTGCTTCCATGAGGTATTTCTTAGACTAATTTTACTTCAACTGAAGATTAGAAGACAAGAATTAGGTATTACTTTTCAAATGTTACTTTTCTTATACATCTTTTTTTCTATTTTAATCATTGATGAATGCAACGGTTGTTAGCTGAAGCAACTAATGATTGCTTTTTGTTAACTTGAAGTGTACTTCAAATCTTTTTCTGAACGCTATGTTTCTTGCTAATTTTTCTTGCATACTGAAGAGTGTTTTTAATAGTCTCTAGTATAGGAACATGGGTCGCTACTCCTCTGAAACAGAAAACCCATCTAAATGTAATAAGCCAAAAACTTGGATATTAAACTTTGAATAATTATACACAGTATTTATCCAGCCTTACATGTAGCCCTTATTATAGTAAATTAATAACGATTTAACGGATTTAATCTGTTCGTCCATTCTAGCTTGCAAGGCACGCGGGGATAATCTTCGTGTTCATTTTAAGGTAAGAATCGTTCAGCAAAGTGATACATTTGTATGTAACATGTAATATAGACTATGTATTTAGAAGAAATTGTAGATCACAGTAAAGCACGACACCAAATCTACACCGTAATTGTTAATAAATATACATCATATTTACACAAAAGGCAATCGTTTGACTTTAATGTATTAAATTTGTTCCTTATTACTGTAATATGTAAAGATCACTAAGTTGTCATCGCTCGGTGTAATGTCATTTTGAAACAATATATAAAATACAGTATGTGGTGTATGATCCCGTGTACGACGTTATACAGTACATTGCATGTATCACGATGAATTATAAGTTAATAGATCTTTGGCAACATTGTAAGTGTATACGATGTGGCTATGGTATTTACTTATGCACTACCATGTAGAATTAGCAGCATAAGTAATTCTACTAAATAGCTAATAGATGTGTACAACATTCTCGTAGTTCTTAATTATTCATTCTACCTTTGGTGCACCAATATTGTAACTACCATAGCAGAAATCCAGAATAACACATGAGACAATTCTACTATATATCTGGTTGATTAGTGCAAAGTCACCATAATCTAGAATTGTTTTCCTTGATCTAAATAATTTTAGACGATAGCATCAACAAGTGATTAATACAATTCAAAATTTTGACTAATTTACATGGTGAATTGTGATCATATTTCGAGTATCGGAAATTATAATGTTGCGTAGTCGTAGCCGCCACTTGAAATTAAAGATAAAACGTTAACGCCTTTGAACTTTTGTAAATAGAATACCCGTGAAACCGCTATGACCTTAAAAAACATGCATATCCACAAAGCTATGAGATTTTTGAAAGATGTGATGAACAAGAAGCAAATAGTACCTTATCGACGATTTAAAGGAGATGTTGGTAGAAAAGCCCAGGTAATAAGTAGTGTTTATTAGGCAAGAATACCTTTAATATCTATTAATATGTTCAGTTCAATTATTATGTAATAATTGTAAAATTTTGTGAAAAATCTCAAAATTTTGATGTTTTTTTGTTCAGTGTAAAAATCATAAGATTACTACTCAAGGTCGTTGGCCAAAAAAGAGTGCTGAGTTTCTACTGCAGCTACTGAAGAATGCTGAGAGTAATGCAGCCGTTAAGGTTAGACTATGCAAAGCTATAATGAACAGATGCAGTATAAAAACTAAGATATTGTAATCGTAGTTAATTAACCCGTTCTGTAATCATATTTCTCAGGGCTTAGATGTTGATTCCTTAGTGGTAGGTCACGTTCAAGTTAATCAAGCTACTCACATCAGAAGAAGGACTTACCGTGCTCATGGTCGTATTAATCGTAAGTACTATATTTCCATTTAAACTATGTTAATCAACATTGTTTCTACTTTCGATTAATAGACCCTTGTTTAAGTACTGTGACGCGCAGTATTCTATTAGCTAAAAATTACGATGATAGTACCATACAGTTAGGAATTCGCTTCCCTAGTAACATTACCTCAAAATAAAATCATGCATTCTCACTCTAAGAATAACGCTATTTTACGATTGCCGAACTTCTAATTTCTGTATATTTGAAAAGTTTGTGTTAGGATTTGTAATTTTAACGCTTCTTTATCTGTTTCAATTATAAATATAAATTAGATTTACCTCTAATTTTTTGCAAATGTCTTGGTTTCTACAGCGTATATGAGCTCGCCTTGTCATGTCGAAATGATTCTGACTGAACGTGAACAGGTTGTACCTAAGGGCGAGGAAGTGGAAACAAAGAAGAAAGTTTCCAAGAAGAAGCTAGCTCGTCAAAAAATGATGCAACGAGATTAATTAACGCTGTTCTGTACGTCATGATTTGAATAAAGTATTGTAAGATACACGGACATAGGACAAGTACCCATATTGTTATTGTTATTATGGTCTTTACGCATGCATGTGTTGCGGACTAGTTCGTGATAATGGTGGCGAAACCGGCCTATAAGCCTCTGATATATATTTACAAACTTGTGGGCATGTGCGTTTACTGTATTGTATATGTATTTTTTAAGTTATATATCGTATAGTTTTAGGCTTTTAAGTCTTCCTTTTTTGCTAATTTAATTTATTCAATATTGGGGGCAAATTGTAAGGATTTATTAGTAAGGTGACACTTGTACGGATACTACAGTAAGACATGTTGAGTAACTAGACAAAAATTTTAGTCATACAGTAAGCAGTACTGTAATATGAGTTGGATTCTTCGGTAGCTGAGACTAGGAAATGATCAGCAAGAAGCAGTTAGAATAGACATACCTCACTGTTACCCGTTTTACGTTAGGTATCGGTGGGATAGCGTGTTAAACGGCGCATAGGCTGCAGCAGTAACTTGTATTTTTAACACGCCGCCGTTTAACATCCTTAATTTGGGGTGGCGAATATTCGACCAGTATTGCTGTCACATTAAATCAATACAGTAGCATAAAATGATTTATCTGGGCTTTCCACTATCTAGGTCGTAGAGTGTGGGTGGGAGTCAACGAATCTAAGAATTTATCTTAGAAGCCTGTATTGGGTTAGAAAGAGTCGCGACTATTTTCGCAATGCACATGAGTCGTACACGAAATAGCTGGAGATTTCCACGGCTGAACTACAGTCAGCGAGATATTTATACAGCACCATCAGTCAAGAAGAACAAAAAGGGTTGGCATAAACCTTCGAATTTGCCTTGAACTTGAAATTTCGCTCTACGAGTATACTTGTTCTACACCTGTTCACGGAACATTACAGTAATACAGTACTGTACTGTACCGCAAGTGAAAAACCTTTAACCACTCAGTCGTTTTTGTGCGTATAATTAACTAATGTTGGTTAATATTTGATTTGCTAGTGCTGACATTGATTTAAGACTGTTGTTATCCTTTGACTGTGAGACGAAATGGAAATGTTAACAGTGGTATCGAGCGACGTTATGCCAGTGATTAGCTTTTCTTTCTTCTATCAAAAAACTCAGTCTGTCTGCATGTCTGCCCTCGTTACATTTCGTTAATAAACATCAATGGGGAGTTTGGAGGGATATTTGACTCCAATGCAGTTATTGGTACAGTACTATACGCCGGCAGAGCAGTTTCAGCGACGTGTACCAAAAATCGATACTGCAGTACTGTACAACTGTACACAGTAAGTAGACCCGACCATACGAGTATACTCGTATGATCTACACAGTGTACTGTGCTGTACATAAGAGTTTTTTACTCCGAGTTGAACTTCTGCCACTTTGGCAAGTACGTCTAGTCAGATACAGACACCACACAGCGCACACCTAACTTGTTGCTTGTTGCCATTGCCTAGCTCGTAGCCCTATCAAGAAAAATGGATAAAATTAATTCCATGCTGCTGAGTTACTATAGTCGAGATTATATCATCCGAACTTGCCAGTATGGTTCGAAGCTCATTGCAGCCTTATTACATAATAAGGATTTTCAAAATCGCTTTTTGACTTTTTCCGCTGCATTGAGCAATTCCAGAGCTATTTACCGACTTTTCGACGATGTGATCATATTGAAATTTACGATAAGATTCTTGCAGAGCCAGGTAAGCATGATTCCGCATTTGGATTCTATTGTACTTTACCTAAAAGGAAATTTTTATTCCTGAACCATTAATACTGTATGTGATGGCATATCACTAATTTTCTCTAAATATAAATGCAGTACACTACTATACAACACTGTACTGTACATTATTGTTTACATCGTATAATATTCTTAGCGTATACAGTATACGCAGTGTTATACTGTACGCACAATATACAAGATAATTTATTTCTTCCTGTTAATTTATATGCCTCTGAAATCTAAACGATTGAGAAAACCTAATCATCGCTAAGTTAAATTGCAGTATAGCTTACGTACTTATAAATATCAGTTGACTCTAGCCGTATGTTGCACTTCGCTGAGCTTGTGACACAATGCTAGTTAAATGCCAATCGAGAAGATGGAGCATTTGTACTTTCATATCTAACTTCACAATTACGAACAAAATCCGCTCCATGTGTAGAAAGTATCCAAAAAAATCTGTTCTTACTGTGACCTAACAACTAACAATACGTTCAAATCCCTGTAGCTAAATAAACTACAGATCAGGACTGATAGTCAATCTTTTACGAATTTTCAACTTATGTGAAAAAATATCTATGCTTCATACCGTACATTGAGAAGACTACATAAAATAACTATGTCGTAATTCTATCTATAAGAAATAAATACAACATGATGTATTCTGTGATTAGGATACAGACCAATTATCCCGCCTCCTAGGCCTGATTAAAACTGCTGCAGATCAGTTATACTTTCCTGTTGAGCACTTGGCATGGGGTGCTGGCAATAATCTCTTTAAGTTCGCGGAGTCAGCATATTGGTGGGCATTCGGTATAAGGCTCTGGGCTTGCTCGCTAATGATGAATTTTCTTCGTGGATTACTCAAGCTTTGGAAATTAAGGACTCAAAAGCAGACATTACGGTCGAACTTAAAGGAGAAGACCAACAATCAAGCTTCTGACAGTCAAAGGCAAGTATACGCATATTTGTAAATAAAATTAATACTGAAATGCAGTTGATACGACTCTGAAAAATAGTTTTTTTTAAACTACGATACGGTTTACGGTATTTTGCTTTTTTTGTGTCAACGTTATTTTTCATATGAACAGTAAAGTTTTCTTGTCCTACAGAATCAAATCTTGACGAATATGCACGATGTGTTGATGAATAATTAAGATAGAGTTGTGCATCTTTTTCTGTATTGTTTTTATTTTGAGTGTACTGTATGTTGTATATGCGTAGTTATTACGACTGCAGCTGTCCATCTCTGATTACAATAACGGCAAGAGCTCACCAACAACTGCTATGTCGTAGTACCATATATACGGGTATAATGTTTATATACTGTAGTTGTCATGTAGCTGTCCGTGTCCAAACAGGAAATGTGAATATTTAGCTATCTATCTGCGTATTAATAAGCGGCAGTTTGCCTTGCATGCTCCAAATGCAATGCAAACTGCCGCTTACTAACCGACAGGCTTGTTATATTTTGCAAGTTGCGAGTGTATGCCCATCAGTGCTCCATACAATCCTATTGTTGATTAACGATATTTGCGGCATGATCAGACCTGCCAGGGGTTATAATGCTGTGTGTATTATTACTAAAGTAGTATTACTAATACAGGAAAATGGCAGTTACTATTAATTCCTGGATCCGTCTGATCTTTCTCTCAGCATGATGCGCCGGTACAACAACAGTAGTTTACCGTAAAATGTTTCAAAGGCAGTGCTGCTAGCAATCAGTAATCAAGGATAATGCAATACAGTGCAATAAAAAGCATTCGTACGTTCTGGTTCTACGTACGAATATACTGTACATATTGTCCGTAAATGTTGGAGAGACTACGCGTATAATTTAAGTCGTTTTTAAGGGTAAAATCATTACTGTACAGTGTGTACATAGTAACGCAAGTGCATTACTTAATTATTGTGGCAAAAGTAGACTTGGAAGTATCAATAAACAGCGGTAGAAATACGTAAATGCAAAGGACTGCGCACAATAGCAATAAATGCAGCACTTTTGCTTATACACTCAATATACACTACAGTACTGTAATACCTACCGCCACGGTAAAAATTCGCAAAAAGACGAAACGTGAGATTTTATGCAATTTAAAACAGTCTGTTTCAACATTCCTTATAGTGATGCCAGGCTGAAAGAGATGGATACTATGTCTTTTGAAGAAAAGCGTAGTCATAATATCAAAATTAGGGAAATCCAAGAGGAACAAATCAAAACAATACTAAGTATGGTACGTAGTGGATGCGACTTCTGCAACGCCATTCATTACATGCCAGCAAATTCTATCTTATGGGCCGGTAAACTTCCACTTCTATTAGAAGGACTCTTTGGTACGGTGTCATCAATTATTCTTTTAACTAGCTAAAGCTGTGAATCAGACTGTTTAGTTACTCTGTCTAAGCTTGTTAAAGTAAGCATAACATTGTATGTATACCTCTTTTATAATCATTAGCAAAACTATAAGCAATATTGTGCTGTGCATTATATTTATTTTGTTTACCTGTTTACGTCTGTTTTTGATAGCCAACTATCAGACTTCTTGAAAAACAGTAACTATTAACATATAGCATTGCCGCAAGAATACGTTTGTTTGTAGTTATGAGATCATTTACAGTATGATATCAATATCAACATCCCTATATATCACTCATAACTAAGGGAATCACTTTATATATGAATATTCTGTATTGTCTCAACTTCATACCCAGGAAAACTTTTTCGAGAGTCAATGATTATAAGGCTATCGTTGCTGTGGTTATAAAGTCTTTAAATTAGGTGTTACCAAGTCAACAGTCAAGCAAAAATATAAATCATGTGACAATATTATTAATCATGCTTTAATCAGTTTTGATATGATTTCTTATAGAATGATATACTGGTTTCATACAGTACTTAGTTAGGATAAAATTTTAATGGCTTATATAATCTTTAAGGTGGTAATCCGAGTTGTTGATTCAAGAAGTGACAGAAACTTTCTGGCTCACTTGATGGGAATTTTTTCAGCTTACTAAAGTTAGATTCCTGTAGCACGGTTGTTAAGTTGCTAAAGTAAAGAATTAAATAAAAGTTAGAATATAATTTTGGCAAACGTCTAAAATGAAAATGTAAAGCAGAAACTCAAAAAATTACAATGTTCTCAGCCTTACTTGCAAGTGCAACAATATAGGTATCCACTGTTAGACAGTTTTGTAGCAAACTCGACCTGATGATTTTCGGATAACTTATCGTTAATTACTACTAAGAGTTTCTTTTTAAGTTGTAGGCATTCCAAAATACTTCCAGCGCCTACAAATGCAATAAATGATAATACCAAATTTATGATCCCCCTAATTTCAATGATTTAATATTCATCTAGTATAAGTATTTGCATCCATCTATAACAACGTTTTGTACCTTAATAACTGTCACGGTGTCATAACGTGTGAATTACATTAATTAATTATAATTATCAGACATCGCGCAGTAATTTGTGTTTTAACAGCTGAAAATTTCTAAATAGTTTCAAGATTTGGTTCCTACGTTCCTGGATTATATGAAATATTCGAAAGCTGTAATTCCTAACTAGTCGTTATAGAAGCTGTCTTTGCATATCTCGTTTCACCGTCGTTTAGTTGTAAATGATCTAATTATTGATAAGCTGTAATCGCATACGCTGCTTAAACGTTGCAAAGAAACAGTCCCTGTTACTACTGTACAGTATACTGCTTACTAGTTACTGTTCGTAAAGTAGGAGTAGCACAGTTAGATGTGTAAATGCCTATGCATGTCTAAATTACAGTAATTGAATTGTGCATATAAATAAGATACAATGCCCCTGCAATTTTGTGCAGCAGTTTAATTTCATTTGTAGTTTAACCGTTCTATAGTAATACAGGATCTCGGGCGAATTACTACGAGAGAGAACATTGTAACGATTAACTAATCTACGTAGAATTTTAGTGAGTAATTGAGTACAATTACAGCCTATGCGTGATGATACATAGTACAATATCGAATTGATACACCAAGAAACGTTACCCATAATAGGGTACAGTATGGTAAAATGATGGAAATTACTTTTTCTGTATAGTTAAAGTTGTTAAAGCCTACTATAAATGCAGAACATGCAACTGCTAAGCAGCTATCAAAATATGACGTATACAATGCATCCCGAATAACTGGATGTAGAAAGAAAGTTGATAGGTATTTTAATGATGTTACGAGGATAGTGGCTCTTGTAGATCTTATCCTACAATACAGTGTATTTCAGTCATTGCGTAGTTATCATATTACTTTCGCAGTTATTGAACGAAGCGTGCTAGTAGTCTATTTAACGGTGTTGAAGTGACGAAGACAAGGAGATCCTTAAAATGTTGTACAGTAAGTGGGGGATTCTACATAGACGAGTTTTAACAGATTCCCCTACAAATTTTAAAATCTGGTAGGCTCAGCTTCAGTCTACTCTCGTCATACTAACTTATCAGTATTCAGTAATGTCTCTACAATAAATCACTATGAATTTTATTTAATTAAGCTATTTGATCTTTTCTACTCATGACATTTAGCGGATAAATCAAATATAAATTTATGTATCCATATATGTAAGTAGTTAAAATATAATAGTATATTGATAAATTGTGCATTACAAACACATCATACCTCCATGGCTAAGGATCACATCGGCATTCATCATGTCATCGTTCAGCGACGGCTTATATCGATAATACTCTAACTGAAGTTTGTTTGTCGTATTAAATTTGGGCTCGAAATTACCACAGCCGATTTGAAGAAGCAATTTCGTATATCCTCTACTCTCTAATATCTGCAGGTAAAACAAGCACAGTAAACGACACGTCATTGCCATTGCTATGTTAATGAGAAAGATTATAACCGTTCAAGAATAGAGTAGATTCTTGATGAAGCTGGTCTTAGTTGATCTTAAATGGCATGTATGCCATATGCATGTAGACTACTGACAAGTTCTCTATCTTACTGTTGTGCGCTAATTAGTAAAGCTGTTCAATTTTGAGATTTAAGCTTACATAAAATAACAGAAAAAATCAATGTTAATCATATCAGTATTACTCGAAGTTCCTGAAGTTTTTAAATTACATTACAAACTACGCCGGACAGAAATGCTGCCTTCTTCCAGCAACTCGCTAGTGCTCTGCGATTTGATTCTAAGCTGAGCTAATTAATACTACTATACCGTAGTATATCAATAGTTTTATCAATTTTTAGGAGCAAAGTATAAATCTGTCAGTCATGGTGAATTGACCGTAATAATTTTAATACGGTACTACAACATATCGAAGCTTTCGAAAATTGTCAACAAGGTGTAAACTTTATTAATTCTAATTCATTTGAATAGGTTCAAAGGAAATTGACAAGGATGTAGTAATGACTGTACAATATTCCATGAACAACTGTAGCAGTAAAATGATTGATAGAGGATCACTGTGCTACTGCATAATGAATATCTGTTATACAATACCTTACAACATTCATCCGATGAAATGGTTTTAATTAGATCATCGAAGCTAGTTGTTCCCACAGTAACAAAAACGACCTTCATGCCTACAGTACCGCTAAAGTACTGTAACCAGCTTTATAAATACCCTCTAGCCAGGGACTTGTGATAAGAGAAAATTCTTTAGATGCCCCCTACTTCAGCTTTGAAAGTAAGCAAATTTATTCCCCTCCTACAAACAGAATATAAATTAGATAGACAAGTTGATCCGTAAACAGAACCTGATTTTAATCATCAAGTCAGGGACTTCTACAGTACAGTATAAGATAACAGACTAAAATGGTCTTCTTTAGAAGTCCCTAATATAGACGGACGGACTACTGTACACTGTGCAGTAGTAGACCATCCCTATTATACTATACTGTACGTCAAGAATCCTTGCATAGTTCAGTCATTACCACAAGAAGAATCATGGAATATTAAAATCAAAAACCAGAAAACTACAGGCATGTGGCCGTACTGTACTTTACTTTGAATTTTGTGGCGAGATTTGCCGTTTGATGGAAAAAAATAGAGTATTTGCAATGTCATTGACATTTCTGTAAAAACAGAAAAAGAAAGAAAAAAACACGCTGGGACACTGGGCTCGTCCGGGAATTGAACCCGGGACCTCTCGCACCCTAAGCGAGAATCATACCACTAGACCAACGAGCCTTCCGTTGCAAATCGGGCAAGAATTCCATATATGAATAATACTTTCATAAGGACTGGACCAGTTAATTAAGCGCCATTGCGTAAAAGGGTACCATTCAGTGTCTTCAGACTTAGCATGCCGTTAAATTCAAGATAGAATTATTTCTTAAAATTAGTGTAATTGAACGCTTGTTTTGTACAGTAGTTATGAAAGTACTATATTCTTGATCTTGATTTGAATCTTTAGCTTAACATTTCTACTTTATCGCTTAAATTAATTGTACAGTCACAGTGCTGTGTTGTACTGTATGTATACTGCAAACGATACGTGGTTTAAATAAATAATTAATTGAACTTCATTTCATTAGCAGTTGTTGGACTACCATATTACTGTATGTAGTGAACATTTACAGTTACCATAAATTTATCTACTATACAGTATAATTAATTACCATTACTAGACAAAATGAATATGATAGAGACTGTACAGGAACGACACCGTGGCCAGTATGACTTTGGCGCATACTATGATAATTTGTGCGCTATACAAAACACCTGTCCTGTGCCCGCAATCAAGGCTAATTTAAGAAAGTCAATTTTGGATTGCAAAGCAGATAGAATTCGACTAATTGATTGGCCTCCGCTAATTGAAGCGTTAAGAATTAACAAATCTTTGCGAGCTGTAATTTTTAAATGTTGCCGAACAAAACATAAAACGCAAGGTACGGAGATTGCCTGTGTGATCACAGTGTCTTATTATTAATTATATCAGTACAATAGTTCATGCACAGCTCGTTCTTGATTCGATTCTGCACATGATGACAGTAATAAATCGAATCGTTATCAATTTAAACTGTACATACGCTAGAGATATCTAGATTGCTATACTGAAATTCTATTGATTTTAAACTTACTTATGATTGCACTTAACGATGAAGTATATTATTATAATATGAAAATAGTACCAATTGTTACACGCTGATAATTGTATGATCTTAGATGTTTACGGTCGTTTTTTGGCGATTTATAGCATGAGACTTTGAATACAATGTCAATATTTCGCACTACGATACAGACTTACAATTATGTACTCTACACTACTATGATTTAGCAAGTCTCGCAGTATTGTACTGTGTACAGTACTTTTAGAGTTGATTAGTTACGACATTGAATTACAATCGCAATATGCTAAAGTCGTTTCATCATTCCTCCATAAAGAGACATGTGCAACTCGAGCGAAAATACTTCCTATACAGTCTCGAGAAATCATCACGAAATTATGCAGGTACTGTACGCATATACTTTAATCTTTCATCAATCATCTAATAAAATACTAAATACAAATAAGGCTCTTATCTTTTAGTCATTACATTGTGTATGTCATGAAGCGAAATCTAAAACCGAATTTATACCAAGAATAATACAAATTTACTAAATTACTGTAGTAGGAGTTTACGTGTTACTAAATACTGAACGATACACACATAACAGTATTTAGTGTACAGATGATGCTTATCGCTACAGTATCGTATAATCAATTTAGGTCTATTAATGAAATACTGTGTAGAAAAGTTGAGTATTTGATTTGCTCATTTAAGGTGATCAATCTAAATTAATTAAAAAAATTGCGGTACTTAAGAAAGTATAGCAGTTCACACTATAACATATAGATAGTTTGAATAACAATTATGCTGTGCTAAACTGAATAAACTTATAACAATTATACTTCTCGAAATCTTGTTATAAGAGCACTCAGAGATTGCATATTGGTAACGGACTGTTTAAACTCCTTGGAATTGCATGGAATCCGTTTGATGTTTCGAGAAATTGAAACATTATCCAAGGTAGGATGTTTAAATTTTAAGATTGTCTTACAATTACTGTTAACTTCCTGTATGAAATACTTTATGCCTAATTGATTAATACTGTAGTTACAGTTTGTAGCTATCCAGCTGAATCGACTTTATAGAACGAATTGGCCAATAGTCCAAAATTATTGCTTCACATTACCGCTAACAGTTTAATGCATGATTACTATACAGTGTGTGTACAGTGTGCGCAGTATCTGTATTTACGTCCGTAGACTCTTTGCTATCTAGTGTGCGGTTGAAATATTATAAAGTTAATAATTTATTATATATAAATATATATATATGCGATTGCAGTAAAATTTCTGATTGATGTTGTTAAACTGAATAAGTATCTTTGTATCGATATCCCTAGGCCTTACCAAAAAATAAAACATTACAACGTATTTCCTTAGAGAATTGTCAAATAAAAGATCAAGGATTAGAAAGTAACTATTCTTTATCCGATATACCTATGCACTACAATAATTAATAATTTATTTTTAAATATGCCAATACTTATTTATTTGTGTTACCTCAGCTTTATGTACAGGGTTAAAGAATTCTGTTTCTATTACATCTTTAAATGTTTCGGGCTGCCATCTAACATCCAAGGGAGCAGAGACTCTTGCGAAACTCATTTTGGTACGTAGACTATTACTTTAATTTAGCCAATATATGCGAAGTAGTAAAATTTAACGATTCGATCTGCCGTAATCATATTCAGTAGTACAGCACTATCTGCTTAACTACAGTATGTATATTGTACCGTATAGTAATAACTTTGCGTATACAGCGTAATAATACTACTCAAACAACAGAAAGGTAAATGCAATTTTTATATTAATTAAGATGTACAACTACGCTAAAAGCTGTACTTACGGTATAATACAGAGATTGCGTAATTACGATGTTTATGCTATTTACGATCACATCACTGTTAACAGCATCAAGCAACTGCGCGCTATGCAGAGACGTGGAAAGAAAGCTTGAGATATCGTTGGCCAGATCTAGATCGTATGCCAGGTCTTAGACGGATTACCGCGTGCATGAATCCCTTATTTGGTGATGAAGGAGCATCTTATTTAGCGGATGCTCTGAAGGATGATCTATGGCTTAAAGGTTGCTCTCTTTTGTCTGCAATTTCCTAAATTGAATGACCGACTTATTCGATAAATTGTTTCTGAATGACAGCTTTAGATCTTCAACAGTGTGGAATTACCAATGAAGGCGCCAAAAAATTCGAACCTGTTCTGCAAATTAATAACAGTTTAGTAATCGTCGATCTCAGAGCAAATCATTTGATTGGTGAGCTTGGAATAAATGGTAACTTATAACGATAGAATTAGATATAATAATTTACATAAATCCGTTATTCTAGATCGCTCAGTATTTGAAGCTATTATGGAGCAAATCGCAACAAATACAATTCGGCAAGATTGCAGTGGTGTAAGTCTATAAGATGAATTGTACAAAATTGTAGTATAAATTTACGTCAATTTGTATGATAAGCTACGAGCTTTCGTATTCTCGGATTTAGTTCGAATGGCTGAGGCTGGTACAAGCCGGAGATATAAATGATGTCTCTTCTGCATCTTCCGCACTGTCAAAGGATCGTAGAACTTGCAATGAGAGTGAAATATCTACTGACGCTAAAAGGTAAAATCATGTTTTACTTATAGCAAATATTGCTAATTCATGTGACAGTTTCAGTATACTTTTAATTTTTTTATGATTGTTAATCATGATATATGCGTATTACAGTCAAAGATGCTATAGTAATTTGCCAAGATCACTAATTTACGTAAAAAGCTCCTATACGCTTAAACTATCTATAAATGCTAATCGTGTTAAATCTTTACACCATAGAATCCACAAATCCACTTCTAAATTTCAAAAACAATTCAAAATAACAGTAAGCGAAGTCGTTCATTTACGTTTTAATATACGTATTATGATAAATATACTCGTAGAAACAATATCGGTGTTCTTAATAAAGCCGAGATTAACTGGTTTTCGATTTACAAAATAGCCGAACGAAGCAATCATTCAAAATAATAGTTCAAGCCTTAAATTTCTCGTGAAAGATACGGGTGAGAACATTTAAAGTCATAGTAATTCGGTTACAAGATTGACATTACTATGTGTTTATTATTAATCAACTTTTATCGAATAATGTAACCATGTATATTATAGAGGTAGATGATCCCCAAATGACTGGCCTACGAAAAGTCGAGGTTCGATAAACCATCATACGCGCAGTGAAGTAGTTCAAAGTGTTGCGCATGCAAATGTTCAAAACAGCATACTAATTAATAGAATATACGTCTACATAAATAATCCTTTAGTATCTAGTCTAGCTTGTTGAAATGTAAGCTATCAATGTGACTTTTTATTATGCATGAACGAAAAAATGTAAAATATGCACTACATACAAGGTAAATTGTGATGCAGTGCTAGGAAACAACTTTAATTTCATATCTAAATTTCTAGAAAAATCTTTGAAACGTTATTAATTCTATCTCTGTACAGTATAGCTGCTTACTTTAAATTGAATTAAATATGGTTGTAAGAGTATGGTTAATAATCGAATATATACTTTCGTAAGGAAGGATTGATCTGCTGTACTTCCGAATTAATTTCCTGCTCTCGTTAAGAAATATTACGACCATCACTGTGCATATGTGCAGAATGGTGAAATGCTAGCAGATATTATTTACTTATAAATTAATCTTTAGTAATTGTCTATTTTAGAAAAAATTAAATAAATGTCGAAAGCAGCTTAAAAAAGAAATCATCGCAAGAGAAAAAGCTGAATCAAAACTTCGCGAGGTATTTCATTATCCGTAAAGTTATAGCTAAGATTTCAAATTTTATCGATTGTAAAATGGCCTGTCTTACTGACTTATTACGCTACCTGGAGGTCGAGGAAGAAAATGAAAGATTATATAAATGTATAAAGGAAATGTCCAATGTAAGATACATTAAATACGTATCGGCTATTTTATGGATTATCTTTTAAGATGAGTTGTAATAAATTTTACAATTTCCTTCGTATTGAAGATACACTTTGCACAGAAACCTGACCTAGGTATGAAACCACTATTGTATAAGTACTCATATAAATTGTAATATTGATCACTATTCGGTAAAGAATATTCATCTAGAAAATTATTTTTAGTCATACCATTGCTGAAAGATTATGTGTCTACCATTAACTCTTACTCGTGGTTTCTTGACGTATAGTTTGCATAGTAACAGGGTTTAATTTTAGGGTTTACTTAACAAGTTCAGATAGCTTTTCTATCACGTCGATTGATCCAAGATTGTAGATTCATAAATAAAATTTAGAATGTTATCCAAATCTTAATGATATCAACTCATTTTGTTCTTAATTTAGCCTTTGATAACGAAAACTTATTATCCGACATTGAAGATTCGCTAGAGAAATTCCATAAATTCTTGGATATACTAAGAGATAATGGGTAAGGTTATGGTCACATTAGATCATATTTAGGTTTATCCTTAGTAGGTACTTTTTACTGTCTTATCGCGTAACTGCTTGATAAAGTTAACATTGTATGAGCTGGACGATTTTAATTATCAAGCTATGCTAATTTTACAATATTGGGTTATCGCAAATCGCGATGACAATTTGTTGAACAGATATGGCAATTTATGGTCAGATGGTATGCGAAAAGATCAAACTGTGGTAGCTGACTCTATCGCTATCCAAATGTAACAGCATCACAAGGATATATTTATACTATAGATGGACTATTAGCAGTCTGGTCTATATTCTGCGTAAAGGATACATGTCTTTACCATATGCAAATGTATCATGAATTTCAACCTCTACCAGATTGTACAACAGTACCCACGGTCTTAGCATTTGAGTTAATCGATATTTAAAAATATATACCACTGGATACTATACAAATTGTACAAGAAGAATTACTTGGTGATAGGGTCAAAAATCGAAAACACTAATAAAACGTTTATAACCATGAACTTTTGGTGACTAGAATGCATTTAAAATGTAGCACGCAATCGGATATGCTTGCATATTGTGAAATGAAAATCAAAATAATGTGAGAACGTAGAAAATTTTAGTTGTAAAGTTTAAACGATTGCTTTTATTGATTGATGGATTGATTTGATTCCCAATGTTGCCGACTGACATCTAGAGTGTCACATTCTACGTGCGTGTGAACCCTTATATGCTATATCTACAAACTTATGATTGCCCCTGAAATGCATTCTTACCAAATAATTGCCATAGTCAGACTAACGAGTAAATCCATAATCTTTTTAGTTGTGGTTGCTCCTGAAATCCATTCTTAGTAACCATCAACAGTAACGCTTTGGTAGTTTTCTCTACAGTCACTATTGTATTATAAAGGGGATTTAGTATGTCTATGGAGATATAGTAGATAGATTTTTAGTGAGATCAATGAGATACACTTGATATCTTAGAGCGAAGGAAGAACTTATTGATTGAGACATAGAAGCGATCGCGAGGAAGCTCTAGGCATAAGTACGAATGATGGCTAGATAACGTTCTCAAATAGACAAGAAGATAATGAATGAATTTTAGATATATTACAACTATATACGCATATCTACTGTATAAATATTTTATTACCTAAATTCCTCCACAGTATTTAGGTAGTTTGCAGTTATTCATCCTTTCTTACATACTGTAGAGTGCGAACACGAATGTTATGACCAACATAGTATAAGTAAGTGTATGATTCTGCATACACTTATCAATGAGATACACGAACTGTGATATGTAGTCTAACCTTCATACGATAACCCTCAAATACTTTCAAATTTAAGGGATATACTCATACAGTATGCGTGGCAAAATAGTTGATTCTGGATTCGAGATTTCCAGTTATGTTAGTAAGCTCATGGACTACTTAATCCACATCAAGCTGGATTTATAAGCTGATTATTGAATAAAATGGTAGAATCTTTTTTAGTGTTGCATATAGTTAAAGTCAGAGACACCTGGAGATGATATAATCTACAGTATACCTAAAATACAGTGATACGACATAGTGTTTGGGCGCCTGCATTATTGTAAAATTGTTTTTTCTTTGTCGCCTGACTCTAAAAGGAACACATATATTAAAATTTACTTTTACTAACTAACTAATATAGAATCTTCAGCTCATTAGCTACATGCTGGTATGAAATCTATACAGTTTTGATATTGATAATAGAATTTAGAATTTAGACTCTAGTTTGTTTCTCCATTTCACGTGATCCCCAAAATATGTAGATATATGATTTAAGTGTTATTTAAAATTTACTTTTACTAATATAGAATCTTCAGCTCATTTGCTACATGCTGGTATAAAATCGATTCCAGTTTTGATATTGATAATAGAATTTAGAATTTAGACTCTAGTTTGTTTCTCCATTTCACGTGATCCCTAAAATGTCTCTGCAATATTAAAAAGTTACGAATTACGAATATACAGTATGTAGATATAATGATTCAAGTGTTATTTAAAATTTACTTTTACTAATATAGAATCTTCAGCTCATTTGCTACATGCTGGTATAAAATCGATTCCAGTTTTGATATTGATAATAGAATTTAGAATTTAGACTCTAGTTTGTTTCTCCATTTCACGTGATCCCTAAAATGTCTCTGCAATATTAAAAAGTTACGAATTACGAATATACAGTATGTAGATATAATGATTCAAGTGTTATTTAAAATTTACTTTTACTAATATAGAATCTTCAGCTCATTTGCTACATGCTGGTATAAAATCGATTACAGTTTTGATATTGATAATAGCATTTCAATAGAATTCTTATAATGTAAAGCAAATGTAAACATGTTGTACAGTACAGTACAGTACAGTATGTCTACAGAGAGACTGTAGTTTGTTTGTACAGTACAGTACAGTATGCGTAATCTACAGTATGTCTACATAGAGACTCTAGTTTGTTTCTCCATTTCACGTGATCAAATTATTTTTAGTATATTATCTCATTCAATGTGGTACTGTACCAATACAGTACCACAACAAACATTGACTGTGTAACAATGTAACACTACTGTACTTAGTGTCCAGTATTGGACTCAATACTGTACCGTACAGTACTGTACACTCACACAGTGTACAGTGTACAGTAATCAGGCAATGGTACTGTACACTGTACACTACTGTATCGAACCCAGCCGACATTACCGACCACAGTTAGACTAGTTAGTACACAATTTCACTCATTTCGTGATTGTGATGACGAATTGAAGTTGACGTTTTATCACCACTTTCCAAGCTTGCAAGGATCGTAAAAGAGAGAATCTAGTTTGTTTCTTTATTTCACGTGATCTCCTTATTTTTAGTATATTATCACATTCAATCATGTACCAATACAGTACCACAACAAACATTGACTGTGTAGCACTGTAACACTACCGTACTTAGTGTCCAGTATTGGACTCAATACTGTACTGTACTGTACACTCACACAGTGTACAGTGTACAGTACTCATGCAATGGTACTGTACACTGTACAGTACCATTGTATTGAACCCAGCCGACATTACCGACCACAGGTAGACTAGTTAGTACAGTACACAATTTCACTCATTTCGTGATTGTGATGACGAATTGAAGTTGACGTTTTATCACCACTTTCCAAGCTTGCAAGAATCGTAAAAGTGAATTAACAATTATACTCCAAAGACAAGGTTAATCTGGTAAATGAGGAAGATGCTAATTAGTCATCACTAATATGTTTTATTAAAGCTTTTAGCGCACAAGGAGTACAATTTTGGGATTTTATACTGCTAGTCCAATGATCAACCAGATTGATCGGACCACCACAGTACTGTATGTGGACGCAGCCGAGACACGTATAGAAGATGTAGCGATGTAGTGATTGAATTATAACAAAACTATGAAATTCTTAGCTGTCTTTACATTCTGGTATAGTATTAATGCAGAAAAGTAAGAATTTGAATCGATAGTAAGTTTTCAAAACGGTGTCACAGTACAGTACAATATAGGATTTGCAAGTCTTATTACAAAAATCGTACAATCGCTAATCATGGAATTGGATGTCGTAACATTTTATTCCAGTATCACGAAATTAATTCATTATTATCAACGAGTTCATAGTATACTGTATAGGTAGGACAGGACCAAGAATGCAATATATGATATTAATACAGTATAGAGGGTAGCCATGTTGTAGTTGATTCTATGTAACTAATTTACAACCTCTCGTCTTGTCTATACAAGTTGATTTTTGATACTGGTTTTCACTTTACATCTGTCACACATCTATTCTCTACCAAAGGCAACATTTATATGCGTAGTTTAATATTTACAGTACAGTATTTCCATTTTTCACATCATACTTCTGAATAATACACTCAGTACATTACTATAGTTTGTTGCTATTAATTAATTATACAGCTACTACCTATTTTACTTGATACTAGTCATGTCAAATGCTAAACCAACGCAACACTGTCCGCTACTGACTTGCTGGTCTCACCGAATCGGATGGATACTAAACAAATAGTAGAACGGCATTACCGTGTGGCTATATTAGTACATAATTACTTCAAAAAATGACTCTCTCTCTCTCTTCACTGAAGTAGTCCTAAGAAAGTGTGGTAGTATTTGGCCAGATCTTGATCAGGCATACCGTGTCGTCATTATCACAGTCCTACGACTAGTGTCAATACCTCCAATGCCACAATATGAGATACTCGAGTCGTAGAAAGTATTAAACGGGGATAATTCAGTGAAGCGTGAATGCAATATAAGATATCGCTGTCACTTACAGTACTTATCAATCGATCCTGATGATTTAGGTAGATGAATGGCTAACAAATTGTAAATATAAATATAAAATTATACCATCTAATCGGATTACTACGTAATGAGACATAGAATAGGATTGTAATTAAATAAATGGTAACATATCTTCATTTTTTTACAAAGAACGCCATTTAAGTCATGGACTTGTAGATACTCTTAGAAATCCATGTGTATGTTGAACAACTTTATATTATGGTTCTGATATCCAGGAAAGAGATGATGAAAGATCATTATAATATCACTGTTACGACCTATATACAAAATCCCGTATGCCATACGAGTACCACCATTCAATTCTTGTTCAGTAGCGGTACTACTGTATCTTTAGAGTATGATGTAGCGTTGCTTTATTAGGGTGTTAAAACGTAAATAATGTAGGATCTTCCTATAAAACGGTCGTAAGGTTTATGTTGTAACGTTAACCATCGATGTCAATAATATACATAAGTACAGTATTTCAATCGCTAAAGCTGATCTCAACTAGTTCAAAATTAATTTACTGATTACACCGCTAAAAAGGATCAAGAAGTTATTTGATGATATTGTAGCTTAGTTGTTCTTCGTAAATTAAATGATAGTGAGGTACAGTAGATAGAAATTTTACGCAGATTCTAATTAATTGTGAATTAATGCATTATATTCCTCGTTTAATGATTATCTCAAATAAATAGCTGTAAAGCTAATGTGTCACACTTTCATTTTCTTATTTCGTGCACACAACAGTCATTGCGAGTTTTACTTAATTATCATCTACTCTTTAGGGAGCTGATATCCCAAAAATCAATTCCGCTCAAGTCTAATAATGCCCAAAGAATTATATTTTAAAGAAAGTCTCGAAGGACTTAATGAACTTGTGGATGGCATCCCTAATGTACAAAAGTTACATAGTTATAAAATTCCGCAGTAAGTTTAGGATTTACAAACCAGTACCAAGCTGTGCGTTGGTTAATATACATTGTCACCTTATTATATAAAGAATAACTTTTAAAGTAACATTGATGGAAAAGTCTAACAGTTACTGATATTCTTTTCTTATCAAGGACTTGTAAAAGCACGAAATCAGTTTTCGACAAGGCCGAATACTACGATAAGTTGGGCGATGAAGAGCTTGCTTATGTTTACTACATGAGATTTTACAAGCTTGTCTTTCTTGTTAGAAAGTTTACAAAATATAAAGCTGAAGCGGTAAGACTGGATATACTGTAGTTACATTAAAATAAAATTTTGCATTCATGGTTACTGTCATCCCTGTACGGATGTAAGATTTGGAGTGATTGTTGTACCTTCTGGGCATGTATAGAATTATCATGACGGCTTAATTGGTATAAAGAATGCCAAATCAGCTATTGATCGCGCATCTGAGCTTCAAGCTAGTTTGAAGGAGAGGTACACAATGTTACAATTTTACTATTTATACGGGCGTAACTATTCAATGAATACTATATAGTTTACATTTATTTCACTTAAAATATTTTAAAGTTTTACCTTTTATACTCGAATTTGTATTGATAATGCTTTTTTATGTACATCTAGATACAATCAGAGAAGTATCAGTGTGGATTCCATAAATCATAGTAAATATAGCGTAGAAGGAAAAGATTTAATATTAATGTCTCCCGTAACTATGAATATTAATAATTTTTTGGTTCACTGCTTAGAGAATGAAGTGCGTAATAATGACAGTGTTGTCACGAAAAACGATCACACAGAGTAAGGAATAGTACATCAATGCCTCGATATCAAACATTCAGAAGTGATACTTCTAGGATACTTGGATTTAGAGCTAGTCTCAATATTATGCGTTAATTAATTAATTAATTAATAAAATAATTTCTGAAATTCTTTGTTAATATTAGAAGTGATAAAGGTAGTTCGATAGACACCGATGACTTGAATGATTTATTGCCTCCAACTTCAAAGACACCGTCTCTTGAGCCTTTAACAAAGAAAGATAGGGTATGAAAATATTAGCTTTCAGATATCTGATAAATAATTATAATTAGTAATAACATTGAAGTTACTTGGTTGTCTTTTTAGGCTTCTGAAGTTCGAAAACTAGAATCGGCTGAATCAGGCCTAAAATTTATGGAATTGAAAACTTTGAGAGAATTTATGATAACGTCACAATCCAAGGTTTGTTTGGCGAATACAGCAGCAATCAGCACTGATCTATTTAATATATGAAAATGGTATATATCAATGTACTGTGTAATGAACTATTAATTATCTGATTATTTCTAGGCTTTAGTCTTAGATATTCGATCATCAAATCACTATCAAACATCAAGAATGTTACATGATCTTTGCATCAACATACCTGAAAGTATAATCGAACCGGGGTAACCAAATTTTTCATTATTGTTATTTTTCTTAAATGGTCCATTACATCGCAGATTGTGATTTGAATGATTGTAGAATTACCACCTCAGGCCATATAGCAAAATTTTTAACCGATGAAACGGATATAAATATTTGGAGTAAAAGATCAGAGTATGACTATATCATCGTAATGGACTGGAATACCAACTCCTCGTTGCGACATGATAACCAGAAGTTGGCTGCACTGATTGATATCATATACAAGGTATGTATCAGTTGGCAAACTTTTAATGAAGATAACAGTTTTTGATATAATGAAAGTATAAACGTTATCCATTCTTTCAGTTTGACAGTTATGCGACCCTTCAGCGGGAACCTCGGGTGTTAGATGGTGGATATGAAAGATGGATGTTAAATTATCCTTCTTTCTGCTCTAACTTTAACGTCATTCAGGTATTAATGGTAACTAAATCATACATAGTATTGGTACATATTGGCGTACTGCTTGCTCAAGTATGTACTTAATTCGTTAGGTATACGTGGAGGAAGATCCAACGAAAATGAGCCATTCATTATGTAAGATTTTTAAGATTTAACTTTTATTAATCAATAAGTTTTATTATATGTATTGCTTCTTTCCAGTTGAGCTTGACTATCCTTCATTACCCTGGGAAGAGCATACCACGGAAACTACCGAAATTGAGTTAATGTACTAAGATAGATTTTAAGAATTTAAGAGATTTCCATCATTATAATAATTGTTGTATATGTTGCAGTGATGAAACTACTACGGATTACTCTACTCGTGAATCTACTAAAGATGAATCTGCTGATAGTACTCCAGTTACTGTAAAATCTGAAGTTAAGCCAACTGCAGATGTTGACATGGATAAAACTAAATCTGTAGACCAAAATAAAGTACCACAGAGGCCAGTCAAACCCGAGAAATTTTCATCGGCGAAAATCGATGGTGAAATATTAGAAAATTCGAAACCTTCAAATACGGATGAAAATCATGAACCAATACAGCATCAGATGATGAAGGCTTTAGAAAGTCATCATACCAAAAGACGAGAAGAAATCGCCGATCGTTACGAGGTTGAACTCAAGAACTTGCAAAAGCAGATTGAACAACAAACAGACCGAGAAAAAGCTTTACTGGAAAAATTGAAACAATCCCAAGATACCATAGAAAATCAACAAAATACAATTGATGGACATGTGTTATTAAAAAAGCAAATGGAAGAACAACTTCTAAAGAAAGAAAAAGAGCTATTAGATAGCGAATCCTTAAAATCAAAGCAGTCGAGTATTACACCTACTTCTCAAGATCTGGAAAAAAAAAATATTTCTGACACGAAAACCGCAGATGAATTGGAAAACAAAAATAGTAACGATAAGCTTCGTAAAAATGAAGAAACAATGAACGAAGATAAGAAAAAGCCAGAGATAGAATTAGTTAATCGTGCAGTAATAAAGCAAAATATAGAAGAGGAAAATAAGAAACAAGCCGAATTAGAAGCTACAAAGCGGCAGCAGGAAGCAAGCCGTAAAGCTTTAGAAGCCGTTAAAATGGAGCTACTAAAAAAACAACAAGAGGAGCTAGAACTACAGAAAAAGAAACAGGAGGAGGAGCAACGTCGTCTTAGCCGCCAGCTGGAACAGGAAAAAAAAATTCAATTGCAACTGAAAGAGCGGCAAATTGTTACTGAGGAACAACAACAAAAAATTCTGTAGGATTCGAGAGCTAATATCGTAAAGAGCCTATATCGTATCTTTGTAATACCCTATTGCTTCAAATTGTAGGAAGGAAGAACGTAAAGTCTTAAATGATAGAGCTGATAACAAGAGTAGGCTATCTGAAGGTTGGGAAAGAATTTTAGATGAACAGACTGGTAGAATTTGCTACTTGGTAATATACATTTTTGATCTCTACATATATTAATTTGTGGCACAGTGGATATTTATTGAACTTTAATATTCAAACGTGCAGAATCGAAAGACAAAAACAAGACAATGGGAGCCACCAGTTCAGTCAAAGAGGTAAAAAACTTGATTATTTATACTTGAATACAAAAAATGTAGACTTACTAAAACTCGGTACTGACTGATTCTTTATCTAAAAGTAACGGAACTATTGGCTTAAACACCGTTAATACGAAACCATCAATTGATCGTGGCTTGAAAGCGACGCCATCAATTAAGTTCGTTTTATAATTCTAAGATATCTTAGAGTTTATTATCTTTATATCTTAGAGTTTATTGTAATCAAAATTCTCTTTCAGAAGCTCCGGTCCTCCTAGCGTCAACAGAGGCAGTAAACCAACAGAGTGCGTTATTACTCCTGCGAAGTTACTACGTTTAGCTCCCGTTCTCGGTTCAGAGGTTAGTTCTATTGTTCTACTGAGCATAACTTTTGGTGCATGACATTGTCTCATAGCTTAAGTACTACCACCTAACAGGGGTATGCTCTAACCGGATTGCGAAACCTTGGTAACACCTGTTACATGAATTCAATCCTACAATGCTTAATAAACAGTGTTCCGCTTACAAAATATTTCCTGACGAGTACATACCGAACAGATCTTAATAGGTCAATACTGTGTTTTCTTAGATTATGAAACGAATATTTATAGATAACGTCATTCTGTTATTTTTTGTCACTACAGAGAAAATCCGTTAGGGATGCATGGAGAGGTGGCTGAAGAATTTGCTACAATTGTACATGCCTCATGGTGCGGCGAATATCGATACATTTCTCCTACTGACTTTAAGGTAATTACACTAATAATTGATGTTTATTTTATGTTATCGTTTAACTTTCAGTAATATTTCCTGCTATAGTTAACTATGAGCAAGTTTGCGGATCGCTTTGCTGGTAATTCTCAACATGATTCGCAAGAACTGCTTATGATCTTACTTGATGGTCTGCATGAAGATATCAATAGGGTATAATTTTCGGCAATTACACTTCGTATTGATATATCAAGATATAATTTTAATATGAATACATAATTTACAGGTTAAGCAGAAAGATTATATCGAAGATGACGATACTAGCCATTTACCTGATGAAGAAGCAGCTAATATTGCATGGGACAGACATAAACGTAGGAATCAATCCATCATTGTGGAACTTTTTCAGGGACAGTTTAAATCTACTTTGGTTTGTCTAACCTGCAATAAAAGATCCGTTACTTTTCAAGTTTTTATGAATCTGTCTGTTCCCTTGCCATCGCATAGATCACATTGTACATTAAACGTAAGCCTGCATTTGGAGCTATCAGAATTCGTCAGATTTACTAATTTTCATCATATTGCTCTTTCACTTCAAGGATTGTTTGGAGCTGTTTAGTAAAGCCGAAAGAGTACAAGGAGACAACAAATGGTAAGCTTATTTTTGGAAAAATAGGTTGCTAGGAGTAGGTTACATAGTTACTTAATCATTCTAGGTTCTGTTCAAAATGTAAATGCTACCGGGAAGCGATGAAAAAGCTTGAGATATGGAAATTACCTCCTGTATTACTTATACATTTTAAGAGGTACTCACTAGTAACATCTTGTCCTTTGCCAGAACTTAAAATCGCTTGTATTCTAAACGATTTCGTACTACAGATTTTCTGGAACTGGATTATACTGGCAGAAAGCCGACACAGCAGTTAATTTCCCGGTCAAGTAAGAATAATTTTAAATTTTTCTAATTTCAGTACTATTACATTCATGATATGCGTATCTTTCGTAATGTCATTTAGCGGCCTTACTTTAAAGAATCAGACAGTAGGACCAAAGCATCGACACTACAATTTATATGCAGTTTCGGTAAATGCAAAAGAATCGTACAAATGCATTTTTTCATGATCTTCCATGTCATTTCTTAAATTCGATGTAGATATATGCTTAACTTGTCAAATTATAACCTCAATCTTTTTTATTACCAGAATCACTATGGAACCCTAGAAGGAGGACATTGTAATGATTAATTATTATAACCTATATGAAAATTAGATTATTTTAAGAATAAGCATTGTCACTTTTCTTTTGATTTGTATAGATACGGCATTCTGCCAGAATCCCTACGCCAAAGAGTGGTACAAATTTGATGATCATATTGTGAGCCGAATATCAAGTAATGATGTAAAGGTAACTGTTAAAGAATATCTTATATTACGATAATTACTGTATTCTACAGTATTACGTATTAACTCTTATGATCAATTTCAGACTTCTTCGGCTTATATATTGTTTTATACATCGTTAAATATCCCACCCCTAAAGCTAAAAAAATTCTCATCTTAAAATAGAGATATGTAAGTATAAATGTAGGTGTGTGTTATATTACTTGTAATGATTAATATACTTATACTGTAAAATGTAACATGAATGTTCTTTATTTCCTTTACTTACAGTACAATAATTTCTGAGTTCCTAAACTCACGGAATGGTGATAATTTCAGATATCATGGGACTAAAATGACAAAGTATATCATATTACTAATTCTTTACTGGCTTAAGCTGCAGGTTGCTAGCGAAAATAATATCCTGTCGTCACTTGAATTTAATATTAAGTCAAACTCTAATCTCTGTACATCTATTATTTATAAATGAAATCATTAAAAGAAAGACAAATACTTACTTCGTCTATGGCTTATAAGCCACGAACGTAACTATAAAGGAGTAACTTTAAATGCTACGAGCGCTTGTAGATTTACTTGAACACTTTTTGTATAAGGCAAAGCATATTGCGAATGAATCACTGCTCTATATGTGATGCATCTAATTTGGTTCAATTCTAAACCAGGAATGTATCCTACTGTACAGCTTTATTATTGTTACGGAATAAATTAGATCGAATTGATCTATTAATGTTCGCCTACCTATACTACCTGCCTATTATGTACGATCACAGCGCATGTAGATACTAGAGTTGCGTCAAGCATAGGTAATGCATCAAATGGTTACAAGTATTATTATATAAGCTGCTTCACATACAGTATCAGAATATGCATAGTAACGTGAGATGGCTAATCACATGTCTCGCTTAATAGCATATAACTACTCATTGTACGAAAGTTGCTAGATTTCTGCTAAAATATTAAATATGGATGTATATCTAAAGAAAGTTATATCCAATAGTTTATATCTCTTAAAAAGTATAAAGCTTTAGTTCCATTATCGGTATAAGCTCTTTTAACTGTAGCTATCATTATGATGAGTTGAGCTTAAGTCAAAAAGTTAATGTGCTTGTGAATATACACGCATATATACTAAAAACTAAGTAAAAAGTATTTAAGTCAAATACTTATCAATACAGTACAGCGGGAATTACAACGGAATTCATTAGTGGCAATGTGCAGCTAGCTAACCGGGACTGGCTAGTATTATATAGTACAGTATATGAACGACCCGCTTTTAAATTTTTGATACATTTAGATGTAAACATATTCGGGCCAATTCGTATTTTTGTAGTTGTTTCATCAGGTGATTTTGGATACCAATCTTAGCTTGAGAATTTTTGCCATTACCTCTGTGTGATGCCTAGCGCATAACAGTGGGTAATCATCCCTATTTAGGTCTAAAGTATCTATTAATTCAGCTTTAACGATTTTCTTAGAAATAACTCATGATATATCATTATTGCGCTCTTGATTCACTGAACAATTTGCTGTATTACAAGTAATATAGCAAATATACTGTTATTTATGTATCCTAATACACGTATATGCGTGCATGTGTATTTATCTATAAAGATTTATATCTATCGATACTCTTTTTTGTGCCTAATCGTAACATTGCGGATGAATAATATAGCATTCATTGTTCTTTACTAATCATCATTACTATTGTCTTCACTATAATATAGTGTGGGACGATGTAGGAATAGCCTAGGATGTCAGATATAAGACAAATATGCAATTTATGATTATAAGATATTGCAGTATTTACAAATCGGTAACATAACTGAATTTTATTATTCAAATCACATATAGATATTTCATTTATAAAAGCTAATTGATACAATGTAACGTAATAGATTTTATGCATATTACTTATATACATTATTATTAAAGATAGAAATTAAACTGAGATCATAGTATTCGATACAACGTCCCAGATCCATAATTTAAGGCTATGGATATTAATCTGTGTGCTTTTGCACTTCCGTAGAGTACCACCTATTCAGTTCTTCGCTCCTTACCTAAGGTAAAAAATGCCCTTTGCTTAATCCTCTAAGCTTCGAAACATCCACAGTACTGTTTTATGACGTATTGTAATTGTTTATTTAATTAAAGGGGGTCACTATGCAATGTAACCATCTCCATATTACTCTTTAAAACGCATGATGGTCAATTAAACTATTTTAGAATATAGAGGAGAGACTCTGGTATATGTATGTATATACATAAATATTAATCTTATATACATTTATTTAGGTTGCAGTTTATCCGTTTACTCGTATATAATGAATTACTAAATGTATTTACGTAAAATTACTCTACAGTACAACTACAGAATTTCAGCTTCAACAGAGGACCAGAGTGAGTAAAACTGTAGCCGAACTTTCAGAAAGTTGCTTAACTAGGATTACTACCGTTAGCGGTTAGCCATATAGTAATTAATGAATTGAACACTATGAGAATAAATATGCGCTGCAGTATATTCATTTAATTTACTTGAGGACACGAAGTTCAGCTACTAGAATTATGAGATTCTAGTGGTCCTTGATTGTATTGATCCATAACTGATACGGAATGTGTAAATGGAAAATCCCTCTACTGAACTAGTAGCGTAGTCACGATATCTCAACAGCATTGTACATTTTTTTTTATTTCTGTACAGTCCTAACGTTATGCGAAAGCTAGTCTAAAAGTAAATGTGCTGGTAAAGTGAATTATTCATGAAACAATAGCGAGCATAGTATGTTACTTATGACTATTGTTACATACTGATCAAGGATAAAAAGACTCCAACATGTTGGACTACCTGCTGATTCTAGTATTCTAACTCCATCAAACTCATAATAGCACTACCAGCAATCATTATCATACTGCATTGCGTCATTGAGTATTATTCCTTTTTTGATATGAATAATTCTTCTTCTTAATAGGCAATACTGTTGACATGCTGTGAAGACAAGACATCAAGACATCAAGACTAGAAAGGACTTACGAATATATATTGTACGATCGACCACTGACTGAGCTAATAAACAAAAGTATGTATAACAAGTACGGTTAAACTGTACATTAATTTTAGTCGTTAGTGGGTCTATTCAATTTTTGTTTTCTCTCACCATGCTAAGATGAGAGCGATGGAATCTATAACCTAGTCTCATTTGGCTAACTACTGTACTGTCCAGCATAGCGAGGCCGCGTGTATAACAGTGTACTATACACCTGTACGTTAAAATAATGTACTATTTGTACGCAAATCGCTAACCTAACGAGTTTACGTATTTTGCTGTAGCAGATGCGTCAGCACTTTAGTCTACTCCGTGTCACGGCTACTTTTACAAGCTAGAGACACTGATAAGGAAAAGGCTCTCTCAATTTTTATCGTGGATTGATGGTAGTTGAAAGAGTGAATCTTAAAATTAGAAAGCAGGAGTAACATCGAGAGAGAACAAGAATTATAATACCACTACCTTCAAACAGTACAGTAAAAATGAAGGTGCCTAATGTTAATGAATCATCATGAATATGATCAATGTAATGGAATGGTATGAGCCTTCTTTACTCCATTAACTGATACTACACTTTTCCTCGAACTTATTATAGGAATCGAGCGTTGGATTACGCTAACGGAGATATACATATATATTGATGCTATCTCTTTAACACGGATGAATTTCTAAGCGGCGTCAAGATCTCTCATCACTAATACCAAGAAATTGTACCGGCGAGTTTATTTGCTCAACATTTATAGCGTATGTACTTGTATGGGAGTAATGAAACATATAACTATACAGACAGTATTACCAACCAGTGCTTCTACTGTACATATACCGCACAGTACAGAACATCAGCACCTGCCATTTTTTTACCATGTTTTTACACTGGGAAAAAACTTCGCGATATTGTGACATGATTGTACTGTTTTTATTAGTTTTCAAGAGCTTGATTCAATTCCTTGATATCATTGACAGTTTACGCTGATATATGATAAGATAGAAATTCGATACCAGCAGACATGACTGAATCATAATTAATCAAGATGGGTGTAAAATGATGAGTTCGAAAAGAAAGAGTAGACGATGTGCAGGAAAAAGCACACATTTTGTTGTAGGGGATATCAGAATTGTACTGTAAGCCTTTGCGACAGGCATGGACTACTAGATGCAGATATATCTAGTTAGTAGTCCATGCAATAGCGAAACATACGTCTGATGGAAGTTTACTAATTGAGTTTTAGGATTACATGTAATGTACACTCTACAAGTGTACAAGCTTAACTAACTGTAGAGCGTACGGAGGTCGAATCTAGCAGAACCATAGAAGTAAAAAGAAAGCCTTGATGATCAGAACTAATCTACATATTGTGCAGAACTAGAATCTAATCTAACTATACTGTTCGTGCAATTATATAATTATTGACTGCTATACTTAGTTAATGACATTGTTACTGTTACGAGATGGGATAAACTCCCATCTTATACTATACGTCTTTCCATGGGTAGGCGACATTGCAATACGTATTGCCTTTTAGTAGCGTATAGCATTGACAACATCTTACTGCACAATCGCATTTAATGATACCTTGAAATATTAATTACTTCGTGCCTAATTTATATCAGCGACTGTGTTTTTGAACTAGCTTTAGAAAATCGAGATTTACAGAGTAATAATAGTATAATAATATAACTATTTATTATGTTTGTATTTAACTGTGTCATTTTTCTATATTTTCCCCTATATTCTACGGTAATACAATCGCAATATCATGCGATAAACAGAGTTTGTTACGTGAGATAGTGGGAAGAGTTGATCTATAATTAACTGATTGCAATGTACGACCATGGACTTCTAAGTTGAAAAAAAATTGAAAGTTGATGGTACTGCCTTGCTTGTAGCAACTGACACTGTGAGGTGAAATTTCCGGTCTAGTGTTGCAATCTTTTACGAAGCCAAAACGGATACTATTCTAGTAATCCCTGATATTGCCATGGACTACTAAATGCTGGATTATTTAGTAGTCCATGTTATTGTTTATTTGACATATGAACAAACCAGAGTATGATAACCTCGACTTGGAAGAACTCAAACACATACAATACTGCATTGTACATTTCGATAGTTGCAAGCCTGTGTTGAGTACTTTAAAAAAACTGCACAGTATGTACCCCTATCACCTAAGAATTGTCTAGAAACCGGGTATCAGATTGAATCTGCTTCAAAATAACAGTATGAGAGCATGCAGTGCAGTTAGCTTTCAAGAAGTAAATTTATAAAGTATTTGCGTAAATAGATAGACAAACACTTAACTTTGTACATTGACTTAAGAGCTACAGCTGATACTGTAATACTGTATAATTCACTGCGATCCCAAAATGACTGGACTAAGAGTATTTAGTTTGATCTTGTGGCAATTATAAACTCAATGTGACAAACTACCCTGTCAATTTTGCATTGCACAATTTAATTCAAATACTTATAAAATTATAATCGTAATAACATTGTACTACTTATTGTACAGTATGTAAAGTGTGCTAGGGTAGTTCCACATATCAAAAAAAGAACTGATTTCCGAAGCTGACTAATTATAATACAGTACAACGCCTGTTGTAATAACTATCTGATGTTTCGTTAAAAATTGAACGGCATGAAACTATACGTATGTACTATTAGCACTGGGCGAACACCTCTATCGTACTAACGTTTTCAATTTTTGTAGCAGAACCGAAGGCGAAATAAAAATTCTCAATGCAAAACGCAAAAGAGTGGGAGAGTGATTCGTTGCAATCGGTAATTTTTTCTACGATCAACAAACAACCTTAGTATAGACAAATCACGGTCTTAACGTAATATCAACTTCAACTCTGCTCATAATTCATAAATATGAATACGTCATATATGTATATTTTAATGTTTTAGGATTGTTATCTTGAAAGCTGTTATATTTTAAGATCAACTTTATCTTACTAATTTAGATTTGTTAATTGATTCTTAAAATTAGGAGGAATTACATTCGATAGGTAAACGGCACTTGGCAACGGGAGATCCAACCGAAAGGGAACAAATGAAGATATACGCAGAAGTAGAAGGATCATTCAATTATATCGATGGGGGAAATCGATACAAATATCGGAATTATTGCCCTGGATGCCACCAAAGTAATGGTAAAGATAATAAGAATATACTACCCCTCAAAAATACGACTTGTTTATATGGAAATGATAATTACAGTAGCAATGAAACTTATAACGCGACATATTCCCACGAAATATATCCGCCTGGTAAAGCACGCGTTACATCTACTCTGAGCGATGTTGCCTTGCATGGGAGCAATAGCAGTGTTTGGCAATACAATATTACGGATAGCAATCACAGACATGCAGGATCAAATGATCCATATTATGGAAAGTGCATGAATTATGAATTGCATTCGAAATCTAAAGAATTACAAGAAAGTAGTGATACTAATATCACAAGTCAAGATCAAGATTTATCAGGAAACGATCACTATCTTCGCTATCCTAGCGCGAGTAAGCCAGATAATTATGTCTCAGATTTAAGTAGCGTATCAGTAGAACATAAACTCCGTGCTGTATCTGGAATCGATACACACGGTGATAATATTGCGGAGATTACTACTAGTTGTTTTCCGGAAGATTCGATCACACACTTAAAAACGACTACAAATGAAACTTCAACAGCGTTCGTTCGCAGCCGGCGTGAAACACGAGACTTCTCAATAATACCTAACCATGAAACTAGCACTAGTACTGATGAAATTATTAGCAAGCAAATGCGTGGCAATGATGATGGTAAAAAATTAGTACATTATATGCTTAGAATGGCAGATAAAAGCAACCTTTCCCGTTCAGAGATTCCTATGCTAAAAACTGTATTGTCCCATTTAATTTTTGAAGCTCTTATTTATTTCAACGATCCAGATGAAAGAGAAGTAATTCGAAATAAAGTATCTCAGGCTTTACACTATATCATTAACTTGCAGTCACGGTCAGATGAATCATGCTTAATTGATTCGCAAATCCTTCGTCATTTGGATCAAATACGACTTTATTGTGATGCTTTACGTCACTTTCGAGGCGAACAACCATATGAACCGAGAAATGAATGTAGAATGAAAGCCAAAATGGCACTACAGCAATTAATCGGTTTTCTGCAGCAAGATAATGAAGTAAATCGAATGCGACAGCTTGGTGCTAGCTATTATATTTTGGAACTTTTCGAAATGCATCCTTTCGACGAAAAGATGGCTTCACCTGAACTTAATAGAACTATATATTCGGTAAGATAGTAATTAATTTTTATTATCTGAACAATATCGTTTAGTAACTAAATTTTAGACTCACCTGTCTTATATCATTGACCGTCTTAGTATGCCGACAGGATCGCTATAAGCTTAACATGTAAGAACCAATGGAGTAAGGAGCAGTTTTGTACATCGAAACATGCTCTGAATGCCTTAAAAGCTCAACTGAACTGTAAATACTTAAAACTGATCTCTTTAGCGGCTACTGTTTGCTGTAACTTAGCGAAAGGATCGAATGATTGCATGAGACAAGCACTAAACGATGCTGGAATCGCGACCAGCCTCTTACAAGCTTTAGAATACTTGAATAATAAAAGCCTTACCGACTCTAGCCCTCATAAAAGTTTACTGGCAGCTTTATGGAATTTTTCAGCACATGAGGAGGGCAAAAAAACGATAATTTCTTATGTAAACGGAATAGACCTAATAATGTCACTGATTTGTAGCAACGAAGTAAAGCTAATTATATACGTAACTGGCTTACTGAGAAATCTTTCTACACATCTAACACAAAGCTCGGAAAATTGTGAAAAATTACTTAAAGGCAATTGCCTGAAATTATTAGTGCAGCAGCTATTGCATTCCAATTTGGATATTGTTGTCAATACCGCCGGAATAATCTGGAACTTATCCGCACACGATAAAAAAATTCAAGATGGACTAATTGACTTAGGGATAATAAAGTTATTGGATGGTTTAATGTTAGCACGTAAAAGAAACTTCCTTAACAGAAAGGATTTACTAAAGGCATTTTATGCTATACAAAACAACTTGATGTTAGCAAGAGCTGATAGAAAAAAGTTAAAAGATAATAGATCTTTTCGCTGTGAGAAGCGTAAGGTTGTCGTCACATCGGTATCATTACGTGATTATGAAAGTTGTAATCAACTTGTTTCTGTAAGTAAAGAAGGAATGAGACAACCTGATGGCAATAATCAATCCATCTCCGTAACTGGTACAGCGAAAACCGCCGAATCTTATCATCAATTACAAGCAAGAAGCAGCCGCTTGGTGAACAGTCAGATAACGGCCAAGCCTAATATAAAGAACAATAGTGATATCACTGAAACGAGTATATGTGAAACTCCTAATAAATTAGCTCAAATTTATTCAGCTTCTCCGTCAGTAACTGATAGAGCGATCGATAGCGAATCGTGCTCAAAAATTAGTGTCATAACAAATAGTTCTCATAGAAATGGTGTAATAATAAAGAATTCAGGAAATAGTTCATGTAAAGCTCAGAAGTCGGTAAAGTATAGAGAATCTAAGGCCTAACCGCCAGAGCAGTACTGTAACTGGCAATAATGGCTACGAATTTTACTATTTATCGTTAACTGTATAAGCGTACGCACAGCGTAGTACTGTAATATTTATTTTATATTTTATGTATAATTATTTTTTACTGTTCACTTGTCATGTGTAGGTTAAAAAAATTAGGTGTGGGGCGGTTCAGTTAAGAGTCAAACTAAAAGTGATAATTATACAGCAATAAAAAAGCACTGGCAGTTATTTATCAGTGGCGTAATTAATCGTTTTATTGAAAAGCTTACATTGACCGGTAATCCCTAAAAATTAATAATGAATGGATTGGCATTCACTAGTACAGTCATTTTCCTTCAGTAGACACTCAATTGATGTACATTTAACAAACAGAACCCTGATACAGCTTAATAATACTGTATAATTTAAATTTAGATGAAAGTATCGGAATTTAATTCATCGATTCGTATCGGCGATTGAGTTATCATAACATGGTAAACAGTCAGTCAGACTTTCAGATTTATTAAAACGATTACAATGCTACTGTAAATGTATTACACTATTCAGGAAATTGTTACTTATACTATTTTATTTATTTATTTTTATGCTCTAGCATATTTTAAATATAGGCATTTCATATTGTTCTTAAATATGCAGTAGATACCTTTACGGTCTTATTGTACAGTACTACTGCATATTCAAGTATAGCTTGTCATGTTTCGTTATTTATAGCACTTACAGTCTTCGCTATTTTCTACAGTTTTTACTGTTATATCAACTACTATAGCATACGTTGTATCTACTTCTACAATGCTGCTCTCTGCGTACGCTTATATGCTATCTCTAATACTATAAATACTACCGATTTCTACCTCAGATTTTGCTAATTGCAATAGTCGCAGTGTTCTTATTTTCTTACGTTACTGTGCGACAGCCTACACGCTGCTCTACAGATACTACAACATTGTACTCAAATAAAAAATAATTAATCTACAATAAAGTACAGTATCAATTTTCTACTAAAACCTTCGTGTAATTCTCTGAATGGCAATGAGTCCGCAGTGGCGGACTCATCTAACCCTCCATCACAATTTCCAAGCGTTATGCGAAGAGAACGGTATCATAGCAACCGCCCTATTATAATTGTGCAGTTGGTACAACGGCTTTTGGGCGAAATAAAATTGCATTGCTAACTTCTTAATCAGCTTACTGCCGCTGCAAAGGCTATACTAAATATGCTCGGTGCAAAATCTTTATAATTTGCTGTACTGTAGACCGGGTGGATTGTAGTCATTTAGTAGAGTATATCTTATACTTGCTTTAAGTGAGTGACAAATAGTAAGTGGAGATTAAATCATCCTTGATGTCATTATTAAAATGCCAGATGAACACATCTTACTTTGAGGTTAGCTCTGAATTTAGTTATGAGTTCAAATCCACGTTTATGCTGCTCATAACGAAATAAAAATGATGAACTATAGTGAGCAGAGAGCCCTTGTAAGTATTAATATAGAAAAATGTACTGTGTTGGCACTGGCTAGCCCTGAATTGATCATATGTATAATTACAAGGTTACAGCTTTCTTATTTCTGGAATACTTACTGTAGCTAATCAATTAATACTTTGCATTGCATTGGCTTAAAATCACGTTACTCCATATCAAGAAGAATTTTTATAACTAGGTCATTATTAGTAATTTATAGTTACTGCTTGGTTTTATTCAAACTACCCTATTACAATTAACAAAAATAAAACGATAGAATTTGCCATCTATCAATAATTTACAATCAAAATCCTGCGGTAACAGAATATGAACTAGGTACAAGGGGAAAAGTTTTAATATCTTGCAAATAATTTGTAATAACCATATGTTAAAGTGATAATCGTAAGCGAATGTAACAGATATTTTACTATACATTACTAGGACACTCATAGATATGAATATTTTTGTCATCAGAGACGGAAACAATCTTATTACCAGTGTCATTGTACGCGGCAGACCATACCTGAATGATAAAGATGCTATTGTAAGTTACCTTATAGATAGTAAAGGAGAAGTAATGTCTTTAACAATGAACAGTCTATCTATTAATACTTCCAGCACAGGATTTCAGAAAAGATTGAATAATCAAGTAATTTACCTGATCGGTATGATCATGAAAGGTATGGATACATTGTCGCCTGCCCAGATCCCAGACTTTAACAGTCTTATCACTAGAACTTTTTTTTAATTTTTATCAGAATAAAGACAGCACGGTTACTTTCAAGCGAATGTAAATTTATATCCTATTACAGTACAAATTGAAGCAAGCATTCTTGGCTAAATTCACGCATTTACCTAGTAACAAATTGTTTATTATCTGGATTGAAATCTATACTTAGGACCCACGATGAATGGCCAGAAAATGTAGCTACTAAGGCAGCCTGATGGATATCATACAACTTAATATGAGTATCATCTGATGCCGTAGCGAGATACTGCGAATCAAATGAAAACTGAAGACTACGAACTGCCATAGCATGACCTACAGATTGTTTAAAGATAATCAGCAAATAGAAATTAATGTAAAACAACGTTACTTAAGATGATCATTTAGTAATGCTATCTTAACGGCGAAAACAGCCTAGTACAAGATGAGGTCATATTACAGATATGTAAAATCTTCGAAATCGTTACCTTCAAGTTTATGTGCAAGTTTTCCTGTTTGAAGATCGAAAATATTTACTATACCATCGATAGCCCCACTTGCTAGGTAGCGTCCGTCAGGACTCTGAAATAGTTATTTGGGATACTTTATTGATAATATAGTAGAACCTGTTTAATATTCTATAAACAGATAAGGCTGGTGACAATTAAATACAGTAATTAATAGTTGTATTTTGAGTGAGCAATAAATTCAATAACGGCTTTATACTGAGGCTTAATGAAACTAAAGAACCCTATTCTATAAATTATTGCTATCATTTCATATATAGATCTAGATAACGTCCCTTGGTACAGGTGATATTAGAATCCGTTACAATCTCGAAATCTTGAGATTTCACTTACGTAAGCTACGCTCATTGTAAATTTTCCATGAGTTTCCAAAGTATTATCTTTATTTCCATTCTCCACGGCATATAAGTTAATTGCTCCAGAATGGCTACCAGTTGCAATAAATTTTGAATCCGGAGAGAACGCTAATGTCCAAGTATCAACTAAGGTAATTAAATAAAGGCGAATATTGCTGTTTCACTAAAATAATTACAAATCAAGCACGACTAAGAGATAATTTAATGCTTTTTAACAAATTTAGTAGTTTCGGAGTGCCAATATCAGTGTAATCTCATAGTAACATCAACATTAGTTATTTGCGTTAATTCTTGAAAGTATACCTGCACCAGCATCAATACTTCTTATTTGTTTACCAAATTCTAGATCCCAAATTCGAATATGGCTATCTAAAGAACTACTTGCTGCTACTATAAAAGCGAAATGTATATAGCCAAATTGTTAATTACAGAAATATCAACTAATTCTTGTAGGCACAACTTATGGAGTCATGTAGTAAGCTAATTTACATGAGCCTTCTTGGTTAATATCCACGGAAATTACTCCAAGTTGATGGCCTTCAAAGATCCATTGCAGCTCTAGTTTATTATCTTGCCTAGAAAAGGTAACACGGTTTAGCAACTGTTTCCATCAATGTATCAAGTTTTATTGAAACATTGCAACACAGGAGCAAAATCTTTCCCATAATAGCCTAGCAGCATTGGTTGTGTCAAAAACGTATACATAGTCAATATTTGAAAAACTTACCAACGCCAACACTTTACTTTATCGTCCACGGAGCCAGTGACAACATTCTCATAATGATCTTTTTCGTTTCTCGCCCATGCCACAGTCCAAATGCTATCTTCATGAGCTAATATTTAAATCATAGCATGCCATTTATTAGCTACTTTAGACTTTTTAGGAAAGTTTTATTGTAAATTTGGTAAAGTTTTGCGAAAGTTAGTAATAGGAATATTCTTAGCATACCATTTTCCTTCTTATAACATAGCGAATACTAAAATATTAAGAAAATGATCTGAGTTAGTAATTTGATTATACATCAAGATTGCACACGTATGATCGATCCATCATGGAACAGTTAACGCTTTAATGGAGCTATCATGTCCAGACTTTTTACATTGGCAAGGATCGAACACACAGTACTGTAATCGATTATTTACTATTTTTAAACTAGCGTGATCGTACCAAATAGATGATAGTAATCAATGGTAAAAAATGAAAAATTATTCTGGAAATAGTATACTGTAGGATGTACATTTTTGACGACTACAACTAAATACAATGAAGATCATCAAGGATTTACGTGTATATAGAAGATTTTTTCATCGGCATTAGTGCAAATGAAATCCTTTCCTAACAAGAGTCCGGTCAAATGGGCATAGTTTAATACAATTACTGCTATAACAGGCAATCACTTTTTCTCTGGATAAAAATTATGAACGTACAGTAGTCTACTTTAATAAGGCGGACTGTCAAGAGAAGTAACAAGTTGTATAGCCTGATGGACCAGTGATGGTGCTAAGCTGTTATAATCATACTGGTACGAAAGAGAAAGAAAGAAATATTCTAGTATTTCATGTATGAGCCTAAATAACTAATTTAAAGGTAAAGTGTGCGCGTATTTTCGAAACATCTGTCCGGAATAGTACTGCTGTAAAATACGTGTAAGCTATATTACAGAGGGCATATTCGTTATGTAAATATAATGTAAGCTTGGAATTAATACCGACCGTGGCAGCCATTTCTCCTCGACTTTGCTTTGGAGTTGAAGATGGGCGCTATTCAGCGTACAGTACTGTACAGTGTACAGTGTACAGTGTACAGTACTGTGCGGTTGTACGGTACATTTCAGTACTGCACCGTTCAAGGGTGCAGTACAGTATGTACTGTTCAGTACTGTATGGTGCAGTGCTGAACATACAGTCTTGTACTGTACAACCTTACAGTACAATGCTACAGTATGTATGGTAGACTACAGTACGATGTATCGTGCAACTTGGAAATTTGTTTTATACTGTAGTTGCAGTTGACTCCCTAGTACTGTACACTGTACACTGTACACTGTACTAGGGAGTAGCAGCCATGACTAACACCTACAGAGGAATTGGATGCAGTACCAGGGTCTGGTTTTCTATTCTGTTATTTGTGTAGACCATGGCCTTGATGTAGTCTAAAACACTGCTTGTACAGTACAGTACTGGAGTGCCGGATATGACGTTCTGTCCTACTATGTGACTAGAGAAGAAAGAAAGAAAGAAAGAAAGTAATAGCCCCACTAATAAAGCATTCAACAATCAACTATAAGATTGTACTGTACTATATGAGCACTGGTCTGAATGCATTGAGCTAATACCGGACCGGTGCAGTTCTGAAGATACATTTTCTATAGTAATCATGGTTACGGTGGGCGACCACGCCTTACCGTACTGTACCGTACCGCGCCGGACCAGACTGGAGTCACAATTCAATCACAAGATTATACTGTACATACACTCGATAAAAAACAGCCAAGAGTCTTAGTCCTGGCGAAATTTCCGATTGGAGATGATGACATAATGATGGTGCTTTCCTTGAACTAAAATTGTTACTGAGAAAGGCAACTATGACATGGATGGGTTAACCACATCACAAATTAGCGCTTCAGAGCAAACATCGTTAGCATTGGCAAACGGATCTAGGAGGACATGTTACGGTAGCACTTCAAGTCAGGAGTCCAATCAATCGACTGTCATAGTTCAACATACCATCTCCAAGTACGATACACTACAAGGAATCGCTTTACGATATGGCGCTACGGTAGGATATAGATCATAAAGAATACAGTAATATGTTCATTGAAAATGATATTGAATTCTTTAATTGACCCCCAAAATGATTATGATTACAATAATGCATTAGTAATCCCGTAAATATCAATACGTTGAATGACATCCATTGATCCAAAACGTTGGTCTACAGTGTTGTAGAGCTAACTATCTATTGGAGAATTTCGTTAGGCGTCGATGATGGCAATGCAATCGACCGTTGACGATGCCAGCAATTTTGAGCTGCAGTCGTACAAGCTTACATACACGTAGAAAAAGAGATACAGTTTTATCAATGAATTCTATTCTTACTACCAATCAGGACGAGCAGTTTTTTTTTTCTACGGTAATCAATTAATTGTGACGCAGTTTTGGGCGATAATTGACAAACGAAATTACCAATCAACCACCTGAAGATACGATACAACAGAGTAGTACCTAGCCGTATTATGGGGTAAATAACCCAATCAATGGATCATCAAACTTTTAATGTACTGATATACAACCAAGCACCTGTCCATAGATATCACAGTTTTCTGGTATTTCTTGACTTGTCGCCCAAAGGTGACAGATCACATCGAATACGTAACGTATTGAAAGTTCACCAATTACTTTCTATTTCACTACTAAATCTCCAGTTCAAATTCGAATAGATCAACTATCTGGTATTACACTCCTCAGTGAGTTCCATTATTTCTAATCTAGAAATGCGGTGTTAGCCAATTATTGTACAGTTATAGTATACGGATATCATTACTTAAAAGCAACAAAAATTTGGGGCTGATTGCCGTGTAAATCTCTGCTCGATCCTGAAGTCTCAACTGTTTATATACGTTATTATCACATATGGAAATTACTATACTGTACTGTATACTGACTATAGGAAGATAAAAATAAGGTAAAAATCAATACTATAACATACTATGCTATAAGTAGGTAACGATAAACTTTAAAAATCTGCTGTAATAATACGAAGATGTGTACAGCAATTGAACCGTAGCGCTTATTTTGCTATCCAACCCAGAAATCTCTTACATTTCTGTAGAACACTACTGTACAGTGTATACATATTCCCATTTCCCTGTTTTATCCGTTACCAGTATGTCGCTATCTGATCGTATCCATTGGCTCGAAAGCTGCATATGTTCGATCATCTGGTTAAAATATGTAGACTGAACTAATTTACTTTCTGTATGATGACAGTAAAAACTGGACGGTATTTGTGATCTTACTATAATTGCCGCATTCAAGGTTTGATTCTAAGGCGAAATCGATTACTGCTACGTCTCGAACGTCATGATGCAGTAGACAAGCATCTTCAAGCGTAACTGGATGAAACTGACGATATCAGTCAATACATTACATCTTGCGGCAAACAACTACGCATATCTCGCTTAAAGACCCAAGTTTAGTCCCAAAATCCGAATTTCCTGAACTAGCAAATCCCATACTTGGAATGCCATGATATACATGTATTGACTATAAAATGCAAGAATGTGTCATAATAAAGTAATATATACCGCGTAAATCTTGAATGAATATTAAACCATAACATAGCTCATCGTAAAATATTTTTAAAACAATATTTCCTATACGAGTATTACAGACGGAATCCTCATCTTCATTCTCTTTAAAGTCTTTCAATCTTTCAACGTATAATTCTTAATATACAATTCTGATCTTTGTTAACCATATTCATTCAAGCCGTTCTAAATAAAATCTACAATATTCATAATATATCCTAGATCGAAAATCTAAGACGGCATAACAAAATATGGGCCCAAGATCGGTTGGTTATTGGTGCGGTACTGAGAGTACCAATTAACAAAGCCAACTATGACTATAAAAATCCAAATGAAGCCATCATAAATAAAACTTCTTCCCAGAAAGAAGAATGTAACAAACATCACGAAAAGTCGGTAGATTCTAAGAAATATGGATATTCCGACAGTCAGTCCGATGGTATTACTGATCTATTAAGTAAGGTAGATCAACAATTAGAAGCCTGTAAAGAGTTTAACGTAAAAATGGAAAAGAATTTAAGTGATCCGGTTAGAAGGTAAGCTAGCATACATTAAGTTACATATTTTGCCATTCTTATGAATTACAGAGCTTGAAATCGCATTAAAAAACAGTAATAATGATATGAAAATAATATATATCACACCTATCATGCTATTCTGAGTGATTTTTTTAGAGACTGACAGATCCTTGCTTTAGTCCTTGTAGTATGATCAGTTTCCATCAATTTTCTACCAAATAATAATAATGATATTGTAACGTAATCAATGAATTGACAATTTCTAAAACTAATACAACTCATCTTGTGTCAATCTACTTTCGATCTATTTAAAAGACACTTGTTGCTACGGCAGCAAATACCTGCTTATATTACCTTACGAAATGTTCAGGAGCACCTTACTTGTAGTGCTTTGTAAACTAGGAGGCATTTGAGAATTATAAAATTTTAATCGGAATATTTTTTGATACACTGAATTACTTATGGATTAAGATACCAGGAAAACTCCAGCAAAGATGAATTACCATGGAAGCCAATAAAGAAAGATCATAGCATCATTCAGACTCAAGAAGTCGATAATTGTATTGAAAGCGATAGCGATGAAATGCAAGAACCTCTCGTTTAATTTTTAATTTGTGATTAGCCACAAATAGCTATTGAGATTATTTATCGCTGTTCTTGACTTGTACTTCGAGTTCTTGATGATGTGAAAGTCGTTGTTATTCTATTTAAAATTTCATACAGTATTACCGCAATTATGTGCAGTGACAGTTGCGCGAGAAGAATTATAAGGGTTTACATTATATTTAAATTTTTGTATAAGAAAATACTTTTGTAGGAGTTAACACCTATATATGCACAGTTGTGAATTACGGTAAACTTGCCATCTTAAAATATGGTACATACGAATACTGTATCACATATTTATCTTGCATACTCACAGGATTTTTGCGGCAGTGCCAATGACATGTATATAATTAAGTATTAATACTTGACACAGTAGTATCACTAAACTTTGAAAAGTAAAACATGCAGCTAACGCAATAATGATCATCCCGTATCCCCGAATTTATCTATCATACGTTATTATACTCGAACATTATTAAACTATATCATTTGCGCTCATTGTCATTACCATTATTATCGTTAATTAAGAAAGCCATGATTGCGCCTTCGTCATAATTATATGGCAACAACATTTAAATCATAGCTTGCATATAATTATTACCTTAATTAAGAATTATTTCGATTAATGTATCACTAATGGTGAAAGTCTACAGTTTTAGTTGTAAATAGATATTATACAATGCGATTATCTGAAGCACTGATATGTATCGCAATTGCAAGCTGTAATTCAATTTCATTTATTAAGCAGATAACGGATTGCTATAGCAAGTATATCTATTTACAACGAATAAAATTTATTTACTTTAGCAGTTTATTCTAATTAAATAACTTATTGTTAGTTCTAGTAATTCCATAAAATAATTAATAATCGGATATCAACTACGTTTATATTTTTCCATGCGAATTCGGATCTGGAATCATCTTAACAAATGTATTATTACGCAATCTAAAGTAACATAAATACGTTATTTTAGAATTGATGATCTGAATGTACAGTACTATCTACTATTATTATTTATTTAAAATTGAAAGGAGGTGCGTATTCGAATTTATTACAATATAAGCTTAGTTGTCAAATTTATAATTGTAGCTGATATATGCATTACATAAAACTAATCAAGATGTTTAATTAGCTAAAAATGCAATAAAATTTGGCCATATCAAAAGATTGCAAATCGAGATCTACGCGTTTTGTGATTGTTTGCAAAATTTCCAATTCGATTTATGCTCGATAAAACGAATATCTCTTATTTTACTATATTTTGAAACCTAGGTCTATCTTTTAAAACGTCCTTCTTGGTTGATTTCAGTCCTTTCGCTTGTGCGATCGGTGATCTAAACATAGGCAAATTTAAATAAAATATCCAGCAGTTCCCGCATGTATGAGCGCTTGACAATAATTAAAATCACTAGACTGTATTTGTTTTGTACCTATTTGTACATTTTTTCAAATATAATTCAAGCTACACATAATATTCATGTTGAGGATGTGCAAAATTATCTGCTAAATACAGAGTGTTCCAATATAAACTTACTTAGCAATCATCTCGACCATACTTTCGACTTCTTCGGTCTTTTTGTGAGTCGATCCGAGGATATTTCGATATATATATAGACACTAAAGAAATTTTAATTCTTTTATGTTACCGTTTAATGCAGTGGTAGTCTTGATCCCTACCAAAGTCTCTTACTATAATATTTATGATTTTAATATTATTTTTAAAGTTTAAACAAAACCTTAGTAAGTGGTTTAATTGCCTTTAACATTTCACCCTGAGACAGATTTACTATTCCAAGTAGTTTATATGAATTTGCTACCTAATGAAGTCCAATATTAAAAAGTGTTTAAATAATATTTTTGATTATCTCATGCTAAATTTGAACCTGCAATATGTGAAGAGTTTTACTGCCAGTATACGTAAAAAATTAGCTGAAACTTAGGGTATACTGTAAGCTTCATGAAATATGATATTAATATTTAAAAATGGCAAAAACATCACAAAGTATTAATTATTTTTTCACCTCAATGCTATCTTCTCCGAAAGCTTTGCGCTTGGTCTCGACGAGGGGCCTCAATTTCACAATCGCTTCCTAGGAACAAGCAGGATCGGTTGATAGCTTAGCTGATGTACGTACGATAGCTTTCGATTTTTATAGATTAGTAATTTCAATAATAGGTTACCCCGTATTTCGTCTTTTTCACTAGGAGTTGACATATATCATCCTACAACGGAAGAAAATTTAATTATCAATAAATTGTAGTTGTATTTCATGCTTAATACTCAATTATTTAAAGAGGCTGATCATTCGATTATTAGATTCAACGATCTAATATTACCTGGATTTTTATGCACTTGTTCGAGCTTGATCCATCATGTTTGGAATAAATTTCATAACTTCGCTGAAGATATTCATCTGCTAAAGCTGAATTGTATTAATGTCTTAAAATCTAAACTTATATAATTGCTGTTAAAGCGATCCACAATAATTGATAATAAAGTTCTAGAACGTTACTTTCTGATTCAGTAGACTTCTCCAATAGATATGCCTTCCCTAATCGATAAGAAGCGTCGGCGATCTGAGGAGATTTAGCTGGATAACTACAGAAATATTTGTAAAATATGTATTCAAATTCTTAATAAGTAATTTCTACTAGTCTTCAGGTTACGTCGTTATAGAACGCATACTTAATCATACGAGTATGGGGTAGCATATAATATTTATTCCCGTAGATAATTATTATTTATCTAATTTTAAATGCCTTTACATGTATCTGCTAATTGTAATATTTGAAACAGTTATAAGGTATTTATATACAAATTGCTAAGTAATTATCGTAAGTCGTAAATGCTGTAAAAAAGAATATCAAATCTTAGAAGTAAAGGAAAGTTGAGTAATTTAGAACCTACCGTGCAACAGCAACGTTATAAGCTTGTAAATAAGCTTCTGTCACTTTTTTCATATTACCACTTCCCTTAGCGAGCATTTTCTCTGCTTGGCGCATGTTAAGAAAATTTTTCATTAACAATATATATTTTTGAGAACAAGTTCAAATACATTGTTTTCTCTTAAGGATATATTTCCAATCTCCCAGTAAATAGGAATAAGCTGGACAGCGCCGTCTCCTTTAAGTTTAATGATCATATCGACTAGCTTTTCATAACATTCCAAAGCCAATCCTACATTTCCTTGCGCCACACATAATCTGTTATAAAAGAAGTAGGTATTAATATGATTTTCAGCTTTAATTAAATTACTGGCTACGTTCTTAAAAAAGTAACAGAAATGAATTTAAAATAGTACTTATAGTCAATGACAATTACGTACCGTCCTAAAGTATTAGCGATCTTAATGTCCATGTCGTCACAGAATTCGCTGCCGTTATCTTCTATTAGTTTATTGTATTCACCATTGGCTCTTTCGGCTTTTAATAGAGCAAGCTTAGCTTCCTTATAGTTATCAATAAATCAAGGAAAGTACGAAACAGGCGGAATGTTGCAATATAATATAACTTTGTTACTAATCGATTGAAAATATTAACAAGTAACTTTAAATTTAAAATTTTTTATCATTCCTTTTCACAGATATCTATTTCGACGTAAATATGCAACTCCAAGTACGTAGTAGATTCCAATTGTTAAGGGTAGGACCGATTTACGATCATCATTGAAATTTAAACCGAGTTGTTTTCCACGGACAATGATATCATTTGCTCGTTGCGCGTGCATTATAGATTGTTGCACTAGTCCTAATATTAAAATCAAACTAAATTGTAATAGCAAGACATGATACTTACCGCTATTAATAAAGTTTAATCTGGGCTAATTAAAGACGCTGCTGCAGAGTGATAAATAAGATCTCAATTTTAAACTGGATTAAGTATACAATAGCTAGTTCGAATCAGTCAACTTTGAATTGAAGAGTAACGATATAAAACAAGAAAAGATCAGGCTAGAGAATAAAATTTTACGGGCTTATCACATATAAAATAGTTACAAATGATCTCGTTATAGTACCTTTAAGTTGCAAATATACATGGGCTAATCGCACGTAATTCTCTGCAAGCTCATAGCTGTCATCACCATGTATTATCCTTGTTAGTGCACAACACCTGACTAAATCGTCTATTAAGGTATCATTCTACAACAAATTTACAATACAATTTCAGTGAATTGAGCTCATGATAATACCCTGTCCAATAGTGAAATATGAAGATATAGAATATAATTCTCTAGCTACAGTTAAACTTCAGATTTAATTTCGCTAATCGTAAAATTAATATTTTGAATCTTTCTTCGCTTATAATAACCTTTCTATCCTTCAAATTATGTAAGATCTTCCGCTCCAAGTCTATTAGCAAATCCAGGGGTGGTATCATATTCACTTTCTTTACTATAAATCAATTCAGTGGAATTAGTATTTATAGATAAAATTGAATAATGTTTACACTAGTGTCAGTAAAAGTTTTATGTTATCAATTTATGAGCTTATTGATCTTGGCTCCGGATTCTACAAGTTAATGCAAGATAGTTAACATTAATTTTTACATTAGATGATACCTTTTTTCTGACTTTTCTGATCAATGGCTTCGTCACTAGGTTTTAGCGAATTGGTATTTTCTGTCTTATAAGCAGCTACATAAATAAAAACTACAGTAAGCTTTGATATCAGATATAATTCTCGCCTATCTCATATATTTTCTAATTTGATATTAAGGTTATCTTTTTGCATATTATGAATATTTCTTTGAATGTTATTTGATACCTGAATGCTTTAATAATTAATATAGTGCGTATTGTGAAAATTGTTGGAAATTTAAAAATGTATTATGAATTTATCTAGATTTCATCGATCCAAAATACGAATTTAGTAAATCCTAAAAACTACTTGAGTTTAGTGATATAATTAACGGTATGTCCAAAAACTTCTAAGAGGAAATTGTAGAAGTGCTTGGTATGTCGAACAAAGCTATGACTATTTCTTAATCATGTAATTAGAATCTAATCAGCATGTTCTCATCGATTCATTGGTTACGATCATTAATGCTACGATTAGGACTACATATTTTAAAATAAGAATATTTTGGTATTATGTTCTGATAAAAATATTGACTGCTATCATATGAGTATTATCACCTCCTTTTCTGGGGATAAATGGCAACAGTATTACATCATTTTTTTCTTCGGTATTATATGCCTTTTCGTCACTCCCTACATCTCGTCGCTCTTCCATCATTTAAATTTTTGTCACACGTTTAATTTCCTCTTGATTTCCACTATCAATTAACATCTATAAGCGTAGAAACACATATTATCCCTTGCAAGCTTTAATACAGTTTTATGCAATATTACAACTTCTGAGTAAAAAAGAGAGAAATATATAGTATGATATAAAACTCCAGTAGTAGTAGGCAGAAATGTACAAATTTACTTATAATACCAGTGTCTCATAGATACACCAACGATGCCATCAATTTAAATGTAGTTGTGTGTATATTTACATACGCACTGCAATATTGCAATCTTGAGTAGCTTGTATCATTTGGCATCATAAAGCCACCGATAAAGCTATGGGCAATTTCATTCTGGTCGCTATGCAACATCAGATGGCAGTGCGCGTGCGCGATCTACTCGTGTGCTAGACTACTAGTACAGTACAGTATAACATCGTAATGGAGTGGATCATGGACTACTGGACTACAGTACAGGAAGAAGACAGTACTGTTACCATGTGATCCTATTTTCTTCGATATACTTGACTAGTAAAAACTTCTATACTGTAAGTAAAACGGTTGAAAAGACCAATCGTTATGAACTTACCTATTAAAACCATGCATTTGCGATCAATTTGTACAAATTGATGCAAAAATTGTTCTATCTCCAATGTGTAAGATCACGTGGTATTTTACAGTGTACAGTGCACAGTTCTTGATGGCTCTGTGCAGTACAGTACAATGTACGTACTGACCAATCGTCATGAACTTACCGACAGTATTAAAAGTCAGGTCTAATTAAAATCATACATTTGCGATCAATTTTGTACAAATTGATACAAAAATGGTTGTATCTGCAAATGTGTAAGATCACGTGGTATTGTACAATGTACAGTGCAAGTTCTTGGTGGCTCTGTGCAGTACAGTACAGACAGTACAATGTACTGACCAATCGTCATGAACTTACCGACAGTATTAAAACCATGCATTTGCGATCAATTTTGTACAAATTGATACAAAAATGGTTGTATCTGCAAAGGGTAAGATCACGTGGTATTGTACAATGTACAGTGCAAGTTCTTGGTGGCTCTGTGCAGTACAGTACAATGTACTGACCAATCGTCATGAACTTACCGACAGTACAGTAAAAAACCATGCATTTGCGATCAATTTTGTACAGTACAAATTGATACAAAAATGGTTGTATCTGCAATGTGTAAGATCACGTGGTATTGTACAGTGTACAGTGCACAGTTCTTGGTGGCTCTGTGCAGTACAGTACAATGTACTGACCAATCGTCATGAACTTACCGACAGTTGCATTTGCGATCAATTTTGTACAAATTGATGCAAAAATTGTTCTACAGTATTTTACAGTGTACAGTGCACAGTTCTTGGTGGCTCTGTGCAGTACAGTACAATGTACTGACCAATCGTCATGAACTTACCGACAGTACAGTAAAAAACCATGCATTTGCGATCAATTTTGTACAGTACAAATTGATATAAAAATGGTTGTATCTGCAATGTGTAAGATCACGTGGTATTGTACAGTGTACAGTGCACAGTTCTTGGTGGCTCTGTGCAGTACAGTACAATGTACTGACCAATCGTCATGAACTTACCGAAAGTATTAAAACCATGCATTTGCGATCAATTTTGTACAAATTGATACAAAAATGGTTGTATCTGCAATGGGTAAGATCACGTGGTATTGTACAGTGTACAGTGCAAGTTCTTGGTGGCTCTGTGCAGTACTGTACAGTACGATATACTGTAAATGTCAGTGTTCCTAACATTGGTGGACACTATCTGGAAGACGAAGCGTGACCTTGATGATTGAGCTTCAACTAGAGAGATTTTTGACTACCTCCTATCAGTCAATTATGCACAATGGTGAACACCTGATTTAAAGCTTGGCTAAATGAGCAAGAAGACGCAATTTCATTGGATGGCTCAATGTCAAGCTGATAAAATAGAAAAATAAAATGAAATAAAATCAAATAGAATACATATGTATATCCTATACAGTAGAATAGAAATAAAAAATAATAGTAATTAATTAATAATAGTAATGATATTAAAATAAATATTGTAAAAGTTGCCACGTTTGCACGTTTGGTTCGGCGTGTCGCGCTTCCGATGACCTTTCGTGGAGGCACTGCAACTGTACAGTACGTTACAACTTGCAACAATATTCAGTAGACGAAAGCACCGCTCGAGTTGAAAAGGTCGCTCGAAATAGTACAGGACTATCTAAAACGCACCTCGGTCCAACTGGATTGCTGCCAACCATTTCAATTGCTGAATCTTAAAAAGGTAAAGCCTTTCATTGTAACAATACGCCATTAAAGTAGAGCATTTTATCATGGTCGTATTTTAGTGTACTGTATCAGCCAACGCTTTGTACCATGAGATGAATGTTCACAACGTCAAATCAATCATGTGCCATTCTCGGTATTGGAGTAACATTCAACGTTATTTCTCAAGTCATCTTTAATTGTGATCGAACTTGATCGACTGATGATTGCTTTACCCATCGACTAGGCAAAAATTAATGCACAAACTGCTCGTACAAAGCAACACCATGGATAGCCGTCATCATTTGATGATGATGATGACCATCAAAATGACAATTAGTCCAGATAGGATCGTATCATTTTGGGGGGTTCATTAAAACGAAAACTAATCAATAGCTTGAGCAAGCTCAGTCATTGCTACAGTATACGAGTACTATAATCTATATTCAACTGTTAATATTAATAGCACCTACAATGACTGGACTAATCTTTGTGATCTTCGCTTGCCTGAGCACATATCCAAGATGCATAGTAATTTAAATTGCAGGAATACAACATCGACAAACTGACGCAGTGACGAGGTAGTATACTGTAAATTACCATTACTGCCCACGGTGCATTACGCAGCGGCATTTTTACAATGCTGCAATGAATGCTGAATTTGCATTGCAGATCGATCTTCAACTATCGGAGCTATTGAAAACTTAAAAAAATAAATATAATACATAAATACAGTTGGTGGTATCAAGACTGTATAGTAATAGCGAAATCAAGATTTCAAATTTTATTGAAACCTCTTGCTTGAATGACTACCGTTAGCGGTAAAAACAGTGTAATTGTTCACTAACCTTTCAAGTCACAGTTAATACTAGTATGCGTTGAAATTGCAATGTCTAAACACTTACAATTTTGAATAAATCCTTTATTTTGATATGCATTTAACTGTTTATACTCTCGTTTCATTCGTTCTTTGCGCTTTATATGTTTATATACGTGTTATACTCAAACGATAATTACTGTACTGCTGCTACTGCATGCACGAGTATACTGTATGCTCGTATACATACTTGCACTGTACTGTGCACATTCCACACTGCACAGTATCATCGACAGTCTGATTAATTTCTATGCCACCCTGAAAAAATAAAATTATGGAAGTTCAATGAAGCCATAACTAGGTAAATTCTGTATGTAGTTGTAGCCTAATTACGGGTATACTTGTATATAAATATTGTACAGGAATTTCAACGGAATACAACTTTGATTTTTTAACGACAGAGTGCCATCGAAAATAATCAGATTCTATACAGTACATTGCAATACCCATAGAAATCTTAATCTCTCTAATTAAACGGATAACTTAATTATTAGCCGTATACTGTATGCAAAGATTGGCTCGTCTGATTTATTGCAAAGAATTAAATGAAATATTGCTAGGTCATGCAAACAGCTAAAGTCAACGTAATATTATTTTATGTCATGTAGACGCAAATGGAGAATTTAAATGGCTATATGGACGTTAACGATTGGCGCTTGTTATATGCCATGGGCACTATCATATTGAGCCCTCTTTATTGGAATGTTGTGAGTAAAAAATAATAGACTGTAGTACAGTACAGTACCATATCACCTTTTCCTAGTCAGTTCATTTTAAATTTTGAAAAGATCCCGCGATTCACTTCTGATGCGGTGCTCTTCCTTATCTTTTCTTTCATTGATTACATTATTTTATCAGATTGGTCGTTTGGAGATGAAAACCAAGTTTTTTACGAGCATTTTTGGTTCAAATTATATTGGATGCTATTTTATTGGATTAACTATATTAATGTTAGGCTTTCATAGGGACTATCGGTAAATAGTGATGTGCTGAAGACATTAAAATTCAGTATTTTGTAAATTTAATTTTCTGGATGAGGTCCAATTTTCATTCCACAGAAGCGGCAGTGTTAATACTATCAGTGTCTCAATTTAAATTATATTAGTTGTATTTGTATTAATTATGGATGAATTGATGCAAACGTGTACCATATACAGTACTGTAAATATGATACATTTTGCTATTGTTTAGGTTTTATGATCTAATTGAAGCTCAACCGAAATCAGACTTTTTGGATCAGGAAAGTTTTAAATTTATTGGAACTGCCCTAATGGTAGTTGGTACTATTTTAGTACTAACGTCCTATTGGAGGCTTGGATTTACTGGAACCTTCTTGGGTTAGCTATTATATTATATCGTATTAACGCGATATACCAATAATTCTATCATTGACGCATTGATGAATCAATATTTTAAGCCGCAGTAGTTTTATCGTTGTAGTGCTGAATCACTGAGAACTATATTGCTCAATGTTCATCGTACTGTACTTTCATTTGGAATTCTTAGTGTATTACTATCATTACGATTATACAGTTATAGTTTAAAGTAATTCATTAATAAGAATAGTTAAATTTGGATAGCTAAAATCTAAACTTTATACCAACGACAATTGAAAGAATTGTTGATTTATATATATATATATATATATATAGGTGATTATTTCGGAATCTTACTGGAGGAGAGAGTTACAACATTTCCATTTAATATTTTTGATAACCCAATGTATATTGGGTCAACTTCAAATTTCCTGGGATTAGCTTTACGGTAAATAGAAAGACATACATAGCCTATAAAATCATTAAAAATTTTTTGTTTGTATGCTTGATCCATATCACTCTTTAAGCCGCTGTTGCTCTATTAGCTGTAAAGACAAGTGCTGATTTACTGTAATAGCAATGCTAATTTATCTTTTAGATCCGCTAGCCCATGTGGTATTATTATGTCAGGATTTGTTTACTTGGTCTACTGGATAGGATTACTACTGGAAGAGTAAGTAACGTCCTTCTGCATTTTGAAGAATTTATGAGCAGTACTACACTACATTACACTATAGCATAATTAATGTCTTCTTTCGATTAAATACAGGCCATATACCGAAGAAATTTATCGTCAAAAGAATGAAAAATTGACGTAGAAATACTAAAAAGTGTAGATTGAATTACGTAGATGAAGATGCAATGTTGCGTTTTTTTATTCCAGTTTTCCTAGTCAGATTGATCATGCCTTCGTCTAAACCATTTTTAATTGACAAAGTATGATTTATTATAATTACAGATAGTATTAGCTTCCTAGACACCAGTTACATTAGAATATCGTAGGAATTCATATTTTATAACGCAGACGTTAGATTAAATAAAACGTTCCAATATTTATAGACCCAGTTACGATATGGTAGTGTTTACGAATTATCCTGCGCATACACGTCTAAGAGAAGGTACTTCGGCAAAATTGTAAACTATGTTAAAAAATAAAACTCAGCGGCATAGATGTATAGATATGTCAAATTGATGGTTTAATCGTTTACAGAAAATAAAAATAGGGTAAACTGCAATCTATCTATGATTCTATAGATCACTGTCAGTTACAGTAACCGAGGTTACAGTCAAAAATTCGAATGTATAAAAACCAAACTGATATAGTTAACCTTGCTCCTCTTCTACTCTTCTGATTCGAGCTAGATTGAGATAAAATTAAAAGAGAAATTTAGCATTTCATTCTGGAAGTGGGTAGTGAGTGCATCTAAGCGAATTCATCGTTGTTGCTTTCAAACGATACTATTTACTCCATTAGGCTTACCGAAATCATTATTTCTTAACAAGTATTGATGCACGAGTTGCCTTGGGCCTGGAGAGCCAAAGGTTAAACCGAATTTTAGTAGAGTTTTGTTATTCTCTAGAACTTTTGCAGACTCTTCTTCTAGCTTCGCTCCATAGGATTGACTCTAAAAGGTGATTATGTCGTGTTAAAATTACTAAAAATTGACTTCCATTTCGTAAAATTTTCAAATACGGAGGGCAAGATTTTAGAGAACGGAAACTATACTTAAATGACGTTTTATGCAATCATACCTGATTGCTTAATTTAAGACATTTCAGAGTTGTATTAGTAGCTAAAGTTGCTACAACGGCCTTCCAAGTGAAATAAATAAAAAATCCTTTTTAGTATCGTTCGTGGGATTAGTGATATCGAGGGTTAATGTAGTATTTTTGGTCATTAATATCATTCTATCGCAACAAGACAAACGTGCATATACCGACAGTCCGATTGTAGAAATGTGATTCGATTCGATGTTCAACTCTTCTATCGATGAATTTTTTATCAAAGCCTTACTAAGTTCCTAAAGAAGGCAATAACGCAAATGCATCGCTAAGTCATAATAGAGATACGACATAATCGTATAGTACACGCTATTAACTTTGTTATAAATTAATTATATTATATAACTATTATACATTATTGTATTCGTAAATAGTGAGATGATCTAGTTCTTATCTTCACATCCTACATACAAATTTTTAAAATTAGAGTTACTTACCAAGGCCGCATGATCTCGCATTTTAGTATTAACTAAAGCAATTACTTTTACGGATGTATTATTGGCCAATGCTTTGATAACTTCCAATAACTTGTTGTCGTTAATCTCTTTGTGATTATTTAAGTTCAGTACTCGCAAGTTAGGATCATTATTTCTCAACATTTCGATAGATTCATCTATATCAGTATCATTATCAGGCTCATCTGGTACTTCAACACGCGACTTTGCATATTTCACAATACCTTTTGATGAAATTAATTGATGTCACATTAATCAATAGGTATCAACCATATGCATACATAATACATGAAGCTTATGCACTTTCTATTCAGTTATAGTAGTAAGTACGCTATTTTCGGTTATTAAAGATATACTGTTAAGCTAATATGCCGAATTTTTTCATAAAGTTAATATAGCTAAACCATGATTTTAATTCTATGCTTGTAGCGTTAGTGATAATGTACAGTGTACAAGCAAATATTGATCGTTGAAACTGTTCAGCTATTGCCGCATTTCTGTGGCTTAATCATTATAAATAAGATAGATTCTGTGAGTAATTGAGGAGTACTGAGCTTTATATTTACATTACGGTTAAATTGTTACGTAATCGGAGTCAGAAATTGACATTTCATGGCACATTACTTATGAGTATGGCTAAGGACTACTGAAATCTCTATTTCTAATTAGTTGTATTCCATTGTATTGCCAAGTTCATCAAGGCTATCATGAAGTAGTAAATAAAATACGACGTCCTGTAGCTACCATTTTAATTTAATAAGATACCTTTTTTGCGTCTCTCTTTGGACAGCTCATCTTCACTTTCACTATCATCGTCACGATGATACACTATCCCATGGACACCAATTAAACCTTTAATAATTAAGATCCAATATACGCATAATATAGTTAGTAGAATTTAATTGATTCAACAATACCTACACAATGCAGTATATTGTAACAGATAAGTATCGCGGAATCTAATCTTCATAAGACAATAAAAATTGATTAAAACGTAAATATAGTGAACTAACTGGCTAAGTCTGCGATTTCAGCATCGGTAGCATTGTCTAGGGCAGCTAATAGTTCATCAGAAAAGTCTAAAATCTTGTTTGAAGGCATTTCAGGTTTATTTTTGTTAATAAACACCTTTCCTCTTTTAACATTTTTTTCGTATGGAACAACTTCTTCATCGTCTTCATACTTGTACGCTTCTTCCTTCATATAGTCCAAAAGATGCTGACGATCAAAAGCTCCAGTTAATTCCTTTTCTGTTTGATCAGGCTGGCGGTATCCAGCAGGTAGCAGCTGATCCTAGGAACCGAATTAAAATTCATTTATAAAAGCAATTCAAATTTTGTTTCATGCCTAGACTATACCAAATAAAGCTAACTATATCTTGTATGTAGGTCAGTATATAGCATACTGGATAGTGATGGCGGAAACACGCAATTACGTATATATCATCATGGACTTCTAGAAGTCGATGATATCGTATACCATATTTATGCATCTGTAGTAATTTTAATGCAAACTGTACAACGTTATCCTACTAGCACCCTCATGAAGTGCTAATTATTAATATTTCCTAAGTCTACTACTAATAACTGCTGCATTGAGGCCTGTAGCGTAAATATAGAATTTTGTATAATATGGGTTAAACAACATCAGGCTGCTAAGAAGTCCATTCTTTTTGCAATACGCGTACACTTGGGAATTATTAGAGACTATTTCAAATTAGGAAGCTTTCACAATCCAAAAATTTTAATGATTTACGTTTGCTCTTGTTGATTACATGTTACACTCTAAAACATCTACAAACGACTTAAACTACAGCTTAACATCGAATTTCGAGACTCGATATAGCCCGCTACTACACAGGCTACAAACAGTGTACGTAGCCCTGATATACTGTACCTATATTATTGCTGTTAATACATGTTATTGCGATGACAAGGTATTCATATTTTAATAGGTTTTCAGCCGCTAATTGCATAATATTATATTTTGGATATCCAAAGTATCGTATCTAAAAAATTATAATCACTAGCAACTGTAACATATCATTTTTACTAGCAATTTACGTTTTACTTTATCAGAGGACTTTTCATCATGAAAAGAACGAAATACGCAATAGTCCTGAACCTGACGCTAAATCTTACTTTTATCAAGCGGTACTTAGAAATATTGATTCCTACCTCCGGATCAATGTATTCGCCTAGCTCCTTTAGCTCTTCTGTTGTTAATTGCTGCAATAAAGCTTCGTCTTCGCTTGAACTCATATTGCTACCACTTTGACTGATAATAATAATAATAATAATAATATGTATGATTAAAGAAAGATAATATATTACTGTATTTTATATTATTTTTGTTAGTAATGGCATTGATTGGCATCACCAACGCCGACAATATGATTAACGGTATGTAAATATTGTAAGTCTTTTAGTGCGTACATGCGTACGCGTATACTATACTCCTACATGGATCAATGTTTACTGCTCGAATTTTGTTCTTACGGTATTTTTACCCCGATCACTAAATTGTACCATACGTTGTGTAAAGTGTTTCTAAAGAGTTACGATATTGCGTTATTAAAATACACTGCAGTCAGTGTTTGGCACTTAGTACTCTATTCATCTACTTCATGAAGAGTCCAGTCTTTGATAGTAAAAAAAAGCATAATGGGAATTTCTAATCTTTGGCATAAACTGATTGTGGATTGTTCGCTTTGAGTCAGAGATCGAGATCGATCCAATTACTCGGATCATCTATAAATTACTGGATATGTGTGGTGACATTATTGTTCATTATCTTCCTGATATGAGCTGATTGACCAAGAATTTCAGAAAGAATTAGCAAGCAGCGTGATATAATGTGCTATAAACTATCATTACCAAAAGTTGGGTTATCTTTTACTGGAACACTTCATTTGCACAGTATCACAAAACAAAGTGTCATCGATACTTTAATTCACTGATAAATGACTGTCTTTACTCCGGTTATGCGCTGAAATGGCTGCGTGTACCATCATACAGTAGTTCGTATTTCAAAATGTCAGCATGTAACGCATATCCAAATACGATTTTAATTCATCAAGCAAAGAAATTCATTAAAAAGCTAATCATTTTCTTTTCTATGAGTCAAGAATTTTGGGAGTGGTTGAAATTTTCCATTAACGTACATTATACAGTACAGCAGTACAAGTCTAGTTATAACATGTTGATGTTGGACATTTTGAAAAAGAAATTTATTGGTGAACCGATTTGAACGCACTGCAGTTGCAGTCTATACTTGCAGCACAATTACAAACCCCAATCCTTGTTATGGTGTCAATCGATTTCATGTTGAAGAACAGGTAGCTTAATTGATAGCTAAAACATACCAATAAAAATCGATATCTAATTGAACTTACGTTAATTAACTTGGGTAAATTACTTCTCAGCTTACCGTAAAGTGCTATGTGCAAGGTTTACAAATACTCTCTCTGTAATATCAAGCAAGCATTTGGAAAAATGCAATTTCGCCTTGTACTGTAGTGCAGTAGCGTAAAGTACTGTAGTAGTGTACTGTGTGAGAAAGTGAAATAAGGCCTGTACTTAGTATACTGTTCTATGGACTAGTCCATGCAGTGTCAATGACTAGTCGATCCTGGAAACCTCTCCATACAGTACTGTAGTGAAAACCTACAGTACGGCGCAGTACTGTACTGTACTGAGTGGTACTGTAACTGCAGTTGATGCAGAGCGTCGAAAAGTGAAAAGAGCCTCTCCCACTCTCCTAAGTCCTCACTTACTGTAGAATATATTAGCTGGATTAGCTATATGTGCAACTGTAAACTATATTCATTGCACGGCAATCAGAGAAGGCGTTCCAACTTGACATAAATTGAATTAACTGTAAGTAAATAAATAAATTCAATCAAATGTGAAATACGCTTACGTCTACTGTACACTATACACTGTACAGTACAAAATAGAATGTTGGTGTGTCAAAACGAGCTCAATAAAGTAGGCATAACAACTGTAGCTTGATACTGCAGTTGTTCGGTAGTGAAGAGATGTACATACTGTCTGTACCATGGACTACAAAAAATACTTCTCTGGCCAGTATATTGAGTAGTCCATGTCCAACGGTCTCTAGTGTACATGTTCTACACTGTATTTTGTGCAAAATATTTCAGACATGGACATTTGCTTTTGCCAGTAAAACTGTACGTAGAGACTTTATTGAAGAACAAGTCCCTCCCCACTGCCCCAGGCTACACAGTAGAAAGGCCTTCTTTTAGTGGTCCGTGCCAGTGCCCATGCAGTGCATTACAGACAGTACAGTCCTTCCCTTATGAGTGTCGCCGACTCACCGTCTGGTCTGAAAGGAGCTGTACTGTACCGTCTGTACGTACTGTACTGTACAGTACTGTATACAGTACACGCCATTACAGTCCAGTGGTGTACTGTACTGTAGTTTCCACAGTACTGTACACTGTAGCCTACTGGACTAAACTTGTGACTCAGTTCTGAGTCGGGTGAAAACCAGAGCGCTCGGCCCATACTGTAGCCCACGCCATGCTTTGCATGTACAGTGTATAGTATAGTGTACAGTACTGTACTGTACACTGTACCCTACTGGACTAAACGTCTGACTCAGTTCTGACTCGGGTGGAAACCAGAGCGCTCGGACCATAGCCCACGCCATGCTTTCGGAAAAGTATAGTATTTGGAAGGAACTGTACAGTACTCTGTACTGTAGTCTCCACAGTACTGTACACTGTACCCTACTGAACTAAACGTCTGACTCAGTTCTGAGCCGGGTGGAAACCAGAGCGCTCGGACCATAGCCCACGCCATGCTTTCGGAAAAGTATTTGGAAGGAACTGTACTCTACACGCCAGTACAGTACAGTACTGTACAGTATATCAGTAGGACAGCTTAAACGAAGTGTACTGTACAGTATAAAAAAATCCATGCAAAATGATCAGGCCTACAGTACAGTCCAGTGGTTTACAGTATTTTATACTGTAGTTCCACAGTACTGTACACTGTACCCTACTGGACTAAACGTCTGACTCAGTTCTGAGTCGGGTGGAAACGTGGAAACCAGAGCGCTCGGACCATAGACCCAGCCCACGCCATGCTTTCGGGAAAGTATTTATGTTATGCTGTTATTGACATAAGTCACAATGACTCCGCTTACGTCAACTCACGATCATATTGTAAGGTAGATTTAGTGTGATATCGCGGATTAGTCATCGACTCATCGAAATACGCAAAATCTCTCTCGGATTGCAAGAAGAGTTTCATTCGTTGAAAATCGATACAAGTATTTTCCTTTTTGAATCTTTCTGGTGGGGCAGGTAAGCTTTTATTGGCAATACAACCAAGTTAACTTGTATCAATGTTGGTATGCTATACGCGATGGTATACAATGTTATTTAATTTTAATTTAATTAATGGATCAATGAAGCAACAATTATATACTACTGTAGACGTATACAGTATGTATTTATTGACAAGTCATTAAATGAAATAAAATTAAATGAACCTACATACACATTACACAGCCGCACGGTAAAAGATTTGAAACTTAAAGTTATTATTAATACAGCAGTCATCGTATATCCGGATGTACTATACATCGGTCGATAGGAAATGTTAAGACTCTAGTAGACACGGTGCCTATGATAACTTGTGTATGATATAGTTGAACCATACAGTCCTGTACTATACAATATCGGCGGTCATACGTGACCATACTCTAATCTACTTTCACCAATTGGCTAACTTATTTACAGTTTTTATACGCGCATATCGATGTTATATATACTGTAGATATACTGTACGTACTTGTTGATCCACCTCTATTAAGAAAATTCACTTTGGTGCTTATTAGTCTGCTTTAGTTCATATTTTACAGGCTTAAATCCCTCTTTTATCTGAAACGTGTCATTTACCACCTGTAGCGCTTCAACGCATCAACACTAGATACTCATACGTTGGTTATGTCAGGGATCGCTACATCATCAGAACCTAATCATCAATTATTTTTTCTGCTGACATCTACGTGCCAAGGTTTCTCAGAAAAATTGACTTCTACTATATCCCTGCTAGCACGCAACTATGATTACAATAATTATACTGGTTGCAGGTTGACAAAATTTCCAAAAAATTCTAGTGTATTGAATTAATTAATACAGTACAGTCAGGTAAAGAATCTCTAGCATGAATTACTAAATGGATCTTTGGTATACTACACCTTAACTGTACAGTTCAGTAATCTATTTTCTGGAATCTTGCTTTTCCCCTTTTACTCTTACTACAACCAAGAGTATCGGAAAAGTATACGTATTCCAATAATACATACCTTTATGAAAGCCCTTCACTCTACACCATTGCATAATTAATTCTAATCTGACCATAGACTACTTAGTCCGTCCGACTTAACACATATTTTGTAGTATAGGGATTACGTAAGTGCGGAATATGTGTTTAAAGTACGCAGATACAAAATACGGATAATAATGACAATCTAATATAGTATGCTCATGTTTACAGCTGAACACAGTCACATACTGCAGATATGGATGGTAAGAGTCAAGAATGGCTATGGCCAAGTCCTGCGACTGTGTCCTCACCGAACAGTGATTCTAATGGACCAAGCTTCATACGCCTGCAAAATTTACTAACAGGCGAGCAGAATACCGACACTTTTCATCAGCAAGCAGCTACGGTTAGTATAATTATAGGATTATTTAGATACAAGTTGATTGCAATTTTCCGCAGCGGAGTCGGAGTCAGAAATTAGCATTTAACAAAACACTAGTATATGCGTATATTAGTAAGTGAGTCAAGAAAGCATAGTAATCAATTCTATATTATTATGAGTGATTTGCACAAATTTGATTGGTGGCGATACTGTACCATAGAAAAAATATAATTCGAACACAATTATTTTATATAGAGATACTATATAGAGAGAGAGAGAGATATATTTATTCCAATACATAAAATGTTATATCCGTTTTCTATCACGGACATGGTGATTCTATCCCGTTTTGATTGGCTAATTTACTACTTGATAAGAGACGCATTAATAACATGAATGTTCAATATATTTTACCTTTAACCCATATAAATTGTTGATATTCTGGATACATGTACAGTATATTGCATATACACTACTATTAGTTCCATTTCCTATGTCTTAAATACGCTTCAATGACGAATAAGATTAGTGGGCTCACACTCGTACTATTGGAAAATCCAAGAAACGTATCAAAAATTCGGACTATTCGTGTAGTAACAGGAATTGGTGATAGCTGTCATTGCCTATTTATCGCTGTTATAAGCTAACTACGATAATTCTACCCTTTCACCCAATAATTTTAGTACTTTTTTATACCCTCCCTAGAAGTATTAAAAGAAAAGTAATAAAACAAAGCATTGGAGATATTGAGAATTCTTATGTTACATTAGTTTAACTCTGAAACGTATCATTGGCATGCTGCTGATGTTTACACGTACCCGGATTTAATCATAAAGCTGATAGCTGTAATTAAAAGCTACTAGTATAGAATCAATGTAAAATTAAATTAACTCGTATGTCGTATAGCCGAATTTTATTGCTTGATCCTCCGACACAATTACAGACTATACCCGTAAATCTATAGATTATATAAATATGTGTATATATTGTTTATCAGAATCACGATTTGTATGATCTGAATAACTTACCAATTGTTTCCATGGTATACAATTAAATGGTAACTACGAATCTATTTAATGGATTAGACCCCTGGCTGTACTTTCAGAAGATGCTTAGGATCGTTAATGCAAGTTCCTAGTCAAACGAAGCGACATAATGGTCTGAAGCCGAAAGAAGTAGTAATTAAAGAAGCTAAAGATTTCTTGATGGAATATTACGCATCGCTTCGGAAGTAATCACGTAATTTAAATATTTCACAATTTAGCATAGTAACTTGACCGAATTAGACCATTTGTACTAGAAATGTATATCAATTTACAACGTATCACAGTACTGTAATTTGTAGTTCGCTTATTATCTACGAAGCGAAATAGAGTTTATAATAATTGAATAATCTATTGCAACTTAAGAAGCTGTTACAATTGATATGTATTTAAACGATGGGTTCACAATAAAATACTACTTCGTAGGGAAAATACGGAAGCTCACTTAAAGCGCCAAGCTGATGTAATTGATGAAATCCAAGCCAAAGGACTTTACGAACTTACAGAGCAAGAGTTAACTTACGGTTGCAGACTAGCTTGGAGAAATGCTTCTCGATGTATTGGACGCATTCAATGGGGGAATTTACATGTTTGTACAGTACCTTGCAAAAGCATAACTTGATCTACTTCATAATTTCCTTATCCTAAAACGTATCTTTCATTTCTTAAAATATGGAGTGCAACATGTAAAAAGATTGATTAACACTTTTTAATACTGCTATAGTATCATATTAATTTGCTGTAACTTGCTACTTTATAGCACACGTACAGTATATGACATATTATTTACCGGCATGAAAGCATCACTACTTATTGCTTTCACATATGTTATAGTCACATTGCATGGTGTATTGTAGGATTTATTAGGCAAGAAGAATTTTTTACAAATTTATTAAATCGCTGTCATTGCTTATATTTTTCAATATATATTCTAACTTGTAGGTATTTGATGCAAGGGATGCAGTTACACCAGAAGATATGTTTAATGCTATCACTGATCATGTAAAGTACGCCACCAATAAGGGTAATATAAGGTTTGTAATATAATCTTATCAGTTGTATTGTAATGTTTGATTGCCTGTCAATGCCAATTGAGATATCGTACAATATTCGCATAACCTGAAAGAGATTAGAGTTTATATTATCATCCTTATTATCAGAAATTGTAACATATTGTCAGCGATTGGTAGATCTTTAAATTTATTTGCTGTGACTGCTAAAACATAAATTGTTTCTTTAGAAAGTAAATAGTAGAAAAAATTTTAGTCCCACTTTTGAACTATATTGGTAATTTTATTGAAATAAACAGGTCGTCGATCACAGTATTTCCCCCAAGACGTGATAGTATGCATGATTTTCGTGTTTGGAATGTTCAGCTAATTCGCTACGCAGGATATGAGCAAGCTGACGGTTCTGTGATAGGTGATCCTTCAAATATCGAATTTACAAAGGTACTAACATCAAATAACAAGTATCAGCCAGATGGTGTTCATATATAGGAGTTTATGACCTTGTCTATTCAAATTAAAGTGTATAGTACATAGTACTACCATAGTGTGATGAGATACAATTTTCGCCTAATTTTGCTTTAGAATCAATTTAATTCCAGCTAGTAATTGTATAAATAGATATACAAAGAATGCAGCGAAGTTAATAATTATTCGGTTACATTGATGAATAATATTAGATATGCCAATCGTATGGTTGGCGAGGTAATGGAGGCATGTTCGATGTGTTACCACTTCTATTGCAAGCTAACGGAACCGAACCCCACTTATTTGAAATACCCGAAGAATTAATTCTAGAAGTGCCTATTTCTCATCCTGAGTAAGTCTTCTTAAACTAGTAAGAACTTAATATTGTGCTAGTAAAACTTTGATCATTAATTCATCGCTGTTGGTAATAGCTATCTATAGTCATGTTGTTTATAGATGGTTACCAAATAGTTTAAGGTTCTACACATCTTGTACCTATTTTTTGAAACTTGATTAGGTATGATTGGTTTGAGGAACTTAAACTGCGATGGTATGCGTTACCAGCAGTCTCGTGTCTTTTACTCGATATTGGAGGGGTGGAATTTCCAGCTTGCCCCTTTAATGGATGGTACGTATTACATAGTAACATTATTATGAGGGGAAAATGGTTATGTGCAGCTGGTGTAAGTGAAAAAAATTTGATCTATCGTTTGTGTGCTTAGGTATATGGTGACCGAAATTGGCGCTAGGGACTTAGGGGATACTAATCGATACAATTTGTGTAAAGTACATATGCTGACATTTCATTAACTTTTATGCCTGTTATAAATGATTCTGTTAAGAGGAACGTAGGTTCTTAGCAGATTAACACGATAATAATCTTGCATTCTATCCGTAGCCGGTTGCTCAATACCTAAAACTTGATACTCGAAGTGAGACAACGTTATGGCGAGATAAAGCAATAGTGGAACTAAACCGTGCAGTTATGCATAGCTTTCTGGTTAGTAAAATCTTATACTGAAATTCGATGAAAGGCGTAGAATAGCAATATATTTCGCGATAATGTAATAGCTACCATCGTATCCTAAACTGCCGCATTGATCCTACAAGTGTACATTTAACTAATCATTTCGTATAACGATAATCTGTTCCCGCGTTCTGTTTACTTAAGAAACATAAAGTCACCTTGGTTGACCATCATACTGCTTCAAATACGTTTATGCAACATTTAGACAATGAGGTTGAAAACATTCTAAGTTATTGCTTACAATAGATACATATATATATAACAAGCCTGCTACAGAGCAGTATGTATTAAGCTAATGGATATTTCATGCATTAACGCTCAACAGCAAAAGTTACGCGGTGGCTGTCCTGCTGATTGGGTATGGATAGTTCCTCCGATATCAGGATCAGCGACAAAAGTGTATCATCAGGTAAAGAAAAGGAAATGACGATCTTAAAAACATTGACGGGTCTAGGTATTCGACATATATATCATTAAAAGTAGAATTATTTTCCATACAGGAAATGTTGAATTATAAAATCAAGCCATCGTTTGAGTATCAGGTTAGCCTAGAGTCAATACAAGAACCAACTTTAACGTACATGCCATCTATTTGATATTGATAAATCATGAACGTATGTTCTTTGTTTTAGGAAGATCCATGGAAAATTCATACCAAGGGGTCTCAGCGAAAATTTAAAGATATCGCCAAGTAATTAGTAGTATGATTTATTATCATGTAACAGTCGCTGGCTCTCAATTTATATTTTGAATACCGATAGCGACCGCATTATTTAAGTTATTATTAGAAAGAATGTTCACTTTAATTTTACGTGAAACGGCCTAAAATCTTTCAGAATTAACGTCTTTTATCTATCCATCTACTTCTGCAGGCTTGTTGTAGTCTCTACAGACTTAATGGGTAAGGTATTAGCAAAGCGAATTAGGGCAACAATTTTATACGCTACTGAAACCGGAACTTCAGAAAGATATGCTAAGATGTTAAAGAAGTTACTTGATATTAAATTTGATGCTAAGGTCAGACTTACTGGGCGGCGGATGTGATTTATGATATGAACTGCTGATCGATAATTAGAGTAGCTGCGCAAACTTTCTTAGAACTTTTTGTGATATTGAAAATAAAGTTAGACCTGTAGCTATTACTCGACCTGTTGCCATATTAGATCTTTATTTTTTTTATAATTTGGTGAACATTTAGGTCGTTTGTATGGCAGACTATGATTTTAGTAACTTGGATTATGAGAAGTTAGTCTTTATTGTAGCTAGCACTTTTGGTAATGCTGAAGCACCACATAACGGCGAGGTTTCACATTATATTAACATAAAAATTTTCCTTTTCGCCTTATCCAGTACGTCTTAGGTCTTAACACATATTAACGTATTAATATTTAGGAATTTGGTAGAAGATTACATTTTCGGGCACATCCAATAGATTTGTTAGCGAGAGCGATTGTAGATTAAAATTTTGTTTCAATATCATATAACGGTTTACTTAGGGCAAATTATAGTTATTTATATAATAACGCTACAAAACACTTATCTACTTTTAAATAGAAACGCCTCTAGAACTGGTAGTTTACATTTACCAAGACGTAAAAGTAAGCTGCGCGCCAACGAAACTGAAGATCGAACTTCTTCGTTTATGATAAATGTAAAGTAAGTTAGCAGAAAGTAGCACTTTCACTGAACGTACTGCATCTATTATGATGTAGAATATGATCAAATGATATCAGAAATGCATTAATGAACTATGCTTGCGTAGATATTCCGTTTTTGCATTAGGATCCCGGGCGTACGGAGAAAATTTTTGTGCATTTGGGAGATCGCTAGATACTTTACTGCGCGACTTTGGTGGTGAGAGGATTTGTCCTTTAGGGGAAGGGGATGAACTTTGCGGGCAGGAGGAATCATTTAGGTCGTGGGCTGGAAAAGCTTTTCGGGTATTTAATCAGTTATAACCGGACTATTGATTTGTGTATAATCATTCGATTTATCTTTTTTAAATATTTATCGCGGTTGTATATACATCTGCTAATATATAATAATCATTAAATTTCTTATTTTGATTGAACTTCCAATGTACATATTGACTTGTAAGGCTGCTTGTGAGACATTCTGTATTGATGCAGTGGATCATTCAGATGCTACTACCTCACTAACAACTATACCATCTTGGTCGGAGAATAATTTTCGGCTAGTATTTGATAAAAAGAAGACAGCAGCAGGACTCTTGGAAGGTGATTCAATTGTAGTTCTTGTAGTTATAAATTAAGAAATTCTTAAGCGCGATGTTTAAAAATTAATTGCAATTGAAAAACTCTATAACTTATTAATTTTAATTTAAATTCTATTACTTAATTTCTGTTACTGGCACTATTATCAGCTTTATCTGAACTTCATTCAACACACATTGAACCCCTTACCGTTCTTTCGGTTACGAATTTACAGTCATCATCTTCACTGTGAGCAATATCAATTTGTAAACTCATATAATAGCGGTTACAATTTTAGTTTAATTAATTAATTGTTTGTAATAAGATTTAACTGACTATTGATCGATTTAAATCTATCTTACGCAATTATTCATTGATAGTATATTATAACAGCTTGATCGATGTGTTTCATACTACTAGTATACTGTATGTATTAATATTCAATCGAGCAAAATTGACTGCATTATTTTAGGCGTTCTACCGTACTTGTTAAACTGAAAAAGGCAAGCGAATCCAATTTGTGCTACTTTCCGGGTGATCATTTATCAGTTTTCCCACGTAACGATCCGGAAATAGTGGATCAACTATTACGCAAACTAGCTGATAAAGAATCTTCAGATATTACTACTCAGCTGGAGTATTTAAGTAACGGTAATGATTAACTGTTATTAAAAATTTTGATGTACGCTATATGAAAGTTTTGTTATCTCATTCTTATAATCAGAGGGTATTTGGACTGTTGACACTCATATGCCGGCCACTTTTACGCTAAGAGAAGCATTTATGCGATTTATTGATATTACTTCTCCGCCAACGCCACAATTTTTGCACTGTTTGACTAGTCTGGTAATGCGATAAATTAGTTAATGATCTAAGATGGCAAGAATGCATCTAATCTTTTAGCAATACTATCATTTATATACGAGATTATTCACCGCTCATTTGTATCGCCGTATATATTACTACTTATCAAAGCTGCTGATGTTTTTGTATATTTCTTATAGGCTATGGACCAAAATGATCGGAATAAACTTGCAGAATTAGCAAAAGTACTTCCACTAAAAAAATATATTAGTAACATCTTGAATTTCAATATTTTCAGCATCTCACCTGTAATCGATGTGGATAAGTTTTACCATTGTTGCCCTAGGGTTCAAAAGAGTATGAAGATTGGAAATTCTGGAAAAATCCAGGTTTAATTGATGTAATTGAAGAATTTCCCTCCGTACGATTACCAGCAACTTTGCTTCTGTTGAAGCTGCCGAGATTAAAACAAGTAGATATATCTTGCTTTAAATCTTAATTAGTATATGATTGTCTGGTGACCTCTGAAATTGACAAAATTAACGTTACTTCCTAGCGTTACTATTCAATTTCATCATCTATGGCAATGACCCCGGATGAGATTCATATTACGGTATCTGTAGTTGCTTATCACACAAAGTCAGGTAAGCTACGTCGTGGTATTTGTTCGAATTGGCTTAATTCGTTAAAAGAAGGAGAAAGTGTTCCATGTTTTATAAGAGCGTGAGTAAATCTAAAATTTAAGATACTGACAAATATTTGCATATACATTTTTGAATGAATTTATTGATGTAGTTTGACGGGATGTTTCCTACTCAACTAAAGTTGTTACTAGTCCCGAAGAAATAAAACTAAATACAGTAAATTAGATCGAGTATACTGCTAATGAATGTATTCTTATTTAATTAGTAGAATCTCATTTAACTAAAGAAGAGAATTAATGCAACAAATCAAATGTATTTCAGAGTTTTTATGTATTATTATTAGACCTTCTTCTGTTTGCAAAACGGTAGGCTAATGAGTTTAGTTTTTCTTTACGGTTCTATACTGCACAGTCGTGTTTAAATCTTAGTAAATGACGTGAACTGCCAAGTTGAAGCTAGCCTTTCATACCGCGTAATTGGTATATTAAGTACATGTTTATTTAGTACCATAGAAACCCTGTTGCCTACTTGATCGGTTCTATGCGGTTCTCAGTACCGTAGGTTACTAATACTCTGCAAGAAATATTCACAAATATAGTGTATTCTTAGACCGATTGATATGGTTAAGAGTATATTTACCTTTCAACATTTGCTAGTGCTTGTTCATCAACAGATTGGAATTTTAGATGCAAATAGACTTCTGTAGATGATTTGAAATCTTAATATCAGCTATGCTCATTATACTTTTATACAATCTCGTAATAGAGCACACGGTTTTCGTATGCCGCCTGATCAGTCAGTTCCTATAATTATGATTGGACCTGGAACCGGAATTGCTCCATTTAGAAGTTTTTGGCAGCAGAGACTAGCAGACAAGAATAGAGAAGCAGCATTTCCTGTTACGGTTACTAAAGGTACACTCTACTAGCTTGATGTTTTGACGTGCATGGTTATATTATATTCAGCTGTGGCGTAAAGATGGTTAGCCATACAGAATTTACAAACATTAGATAGTGAATCTTCCAATCCTCATATTCTCTGATTCGACTCGATGATGTATGCAAACCTTTCTGCTCTAAAATTAAAAACCTTAACTAATGATGTTCTAAATTGCTACATATTTCTGTAGATTATGAAGATACTGAAATTCCAACCGGCATTGATACTCCCCCATTAACACCTACAGAAAACGAAGATCTAGAAACTAGATTTGGTAAAATGACGTTATTCTTTGGATGCAGAGAATCAACTAAGGACGATATTTACATGGACGAATTGAAAGATTGTTTAACAAATGGTGTACTCGATGTAGTTCACAAGGCCTATTCTAGAGAACCTGGCCAACAAAAGGTTAAGATTGTAACCGTGTTTCTTTGATAACGAGTATAATTTAGTAATAATCAATGCTCTATTTATTTTATCACGCCCTTTAAACACGGCTTTGCTGACTGCAATAACATTATTAATATCTTTACGACAGCGATACGTACAAGATTTAATGAAGGATCACGGTGGAGATTTATTACATACGATTTTAGATGAGGACGGACATATCTATGTATGTGGTGATGTCTCTATGGCAGCTGATGTCTCAAGAACGATTCAGGTTCAGGCTAGCGATTTCTGTTACTGTCTTTCATTGTCTGTCATGATTTCTGATGTTAGGTTAACTATTGCTATTAATAGAACCTGTTAATTGACTACGGACTTTTCGACCAAGAAGATGCTATAGAATACGTAAAAACTATGAAGGTAAGAAATCAACTACTATTTAAAGACCTTGAATTACGATTAATCAACGGCCAATGCGCTCAATACGACAGGAAAGGGGTAGATATCATGAAGATATTTTCGGTATTACCTTACGGACAGGGGAAGTTACCGAAAGGATTCGAAAAGCGGCACAGAGGTAAAGTCCATAAATATACCTAAAGAGTAATGTGTGAAGTACAGTTCTGTTTTGTACTACGTTATTCACTGGACAAATCATCAATTTCTGTCTTATACCTTCATAACATTCAGAGCCTGGGTCATGATCCGTAAACATGAATTTCGAAAGGTACTATAAATTCTAACTGAAACGATATGAGTGTTCAAGTACTTCTCGTTGATGTTGATTGTAGCGTTAGTAACTTCATTATAAGCGGGTCTTTCTATAATTCCTGAAGCAATAGCCAACTACATAAACAGTATATTGCATTGACGTGGTATATTTTTACTCGTGTCGCGTAAAATACGCCTAGGTATTAAGTGTTTGCTAACTCTAACTGTAAGAATGCTAGTTTTTAACCTGCCTGATAATTTTAAATTTTTACTTAGTCTAACAAAGGTGATGGTAATGGAATAGCTAATTTGGTAGGTAGTGTGACATAGAGACCTTCATGTTAAAAAGAATTTGTTTTTTTCTTTAAATATTATGATTAAAGTCCTTTACAGCGATATTCAGCTATTACTTCTATGCTCAATAGTAAAGTACTGCGGATGACATCTTTAATAACTAAAACATAACTAGAGTTTATGAATGGTTTGCTTAGGTAGATAAAGTTCGAGCCAGGCAGAAATTAGATACGAGTCCACTAGAACGTGGAATTTCGGTAGACGTTGTAATGCGAACCGAAGACGAAGTTCCAGAACAAAAGTCACAATCTCTGTAAGATGACTACTACAGTGTCTTTTAATCATATTTTAAACATTAGCGATAAAGCAGATTTTTTGTTTATCAGCCAGTTACAATATTATTTTTTCAGCTCTCGAATTTTTTCAATGCCTGGCTCCGATGGTCCAACCATGTCCATATCTGCTTCGTTCAGTGGCGAACAACTGAATATCTCTAGTATAGAAAGTTATGAAGACGAGTAGCTATTAAGTACATTAAATTAAATGATTAACTGGTCATCAATGATTTTACAACTCTTATTTTCACATATTAACTGCCATATGCTTAAATTGAATGCCTACATGATAACGCTCGTACCTGGAACTATATTGAATAGTCCTTACTTTATACGTGCATGGGAGGTTGCGATTTATTTTTAACTACGGCGATGCTAGATACCTGAAGACTTTGATTAGGGACTATGATAGTATGTAGCTACTTTTGGCTGCCATTTTGCTTTACATTAAGTTAAATTTTTTTACTATGATCATCATTTATATGATACTACCTGCAGTACAGCAACATTTATTAATTGCAGATACTAACTAGCTAAGGTAAATAATCAACTCGTTTTGAAATTTGATAGTAAGTATTCGCTTAGCTTAAGGATAGTAGTTAACAAAAATTTGTCTTAGGTTTCAATTAATAGGCAATAAAAGTACCGAAATTGGATTTACTAGATACTGCTATATGTGATGTTAGAATGTTTACTGTAGTTGCTTTTGTTTGCTTTCTATGGCTATATTTGAATATAACTTTGTAAGGTTCTCATATTCGGTATAAAAATTTGAAAAAGCTAGCTTAGAATTTGATAATAAAGATTAAAGATTTGAATCATTGATGATCCGGTATACCTTGTGCTATTAAGCCTGTATATTTCATGTACAGTCACCTCTCATGATACTTATACTATGAGAAGTGAATATAGTTAACAAATGAACTAATTATTGTAGATGCGGAGAAATTTGCTTCTGTCAATGCGTTGATGGCAATGGCTCTACCCTATGATTGAGGAATACCAGTGTGTTGAGTTGCTAGTCTTAGCTAAATTCTATAAGAGTATACTTGAAGATTTTGTATAACTTGATGATATCTTCAGTACAGTACTTGTACCACTTCACTTTTACTTTCATTTGGCTGAAAACTTGAAATTGATCGTCAAATGTATTATACTGCAAGTTACTATAGTAATCTTGGCTCCTTATTATAAGTCAGATAAGAATTTTAATAATAACTATTGTACAATTTATATACTGTATATATACAATATATATATATCGAAATGTACCCTACCCGGGCCTATTTATCATCAAGTAACTAATTACAAGAATTCAAACTGCGCATCATTATTTTCTCAGAGATTTATAAAGTATACATCGATTTCAAATCATAATTAATCTCTACATACCTTGCTTTACAACTAGAGTTTCAATAGCATTGCATGATCCTTGATCAGCCCTTGAAGTACAGTATTACGTATACCTAAACATTTGTGATGAGGTTTAATTCCATTTGCAGGGGTACTTAACTATCAGCTAATTACTGTGTTAACAATCAATATATAATATACCGTATTAAATTCAATTAATCATTATTACTGATATAAGTCACAACAGATGTTTTAGCTGCCTGCGCAAATACTGACATGAATGAAATTCCATTGCATTACTATAATATAAATTAATCGTACTTTAGTATCACAAGCTTTAACTTATTCTACGTATCACAGTATAAAAAAATACCAACGCTTTCCTACATGATCGGAGGCGTCGTCTTATCAAAATACTAATTTCACTTTCAGTTAGTTTTATTTACTTATCGAACTTTCCTGTATGCGAGTGCACGATACGCGGAACCATTGATTGATTTAAGTTGTTACTAGGGTAACCCTCTATTCATGTACTGTACAGACAGGCGCGCAGATGAACCAATTTTAACATCAGTTTGGTACAAGTACGAGCAGATAAAGCGAAAAATGGGATACTGTATTTGTAGTCTTTGAAAATGGACTGTAATCGCAACACCATGTACAATATTTATCTCTTTACCTAATCTCCACACAATGCAATTTGAAGTTTGCGGAAGGCAATATTTAAAAGTTACGTTGACGATTAAGACCATTAAGACCAATGTTACGACTTACGAGTAACAGTATGCTAGGGAGACGTACATATCACGTGACTTGCCGTATGTACAGTACTTTACAGCGTACATTACAGTACGTATTGTACACTAGATACTGTGGAGTGTGGACTGCGGAGTGCAGTACTGTACTGTACAGTGTACAGTACAGGTCTTCATGGTCTGGTCCGGTCCGGATCCGAATCTGCACAATACAGTATGTAGGTCTGAAGTCCATCAATAGTAATCTTTATCTTTGTTACATCTTTGTTACATCTTTGCTAATCTTTATCTTTGTTAACATAGAGATAAAATTAATCTTTTAACCGTAAACAGTGTGCACTGTACCATATAGAGCTAATACCCTAGTATACTGTACAGTACTATACAGCACACTGGAAGCCATTTTTGGAGAGGTAAAAGATCTAAAAATTGGCACAAAAAATGACGGTAAATCTGTAAAACTATGCATGTACAGCACTGCAACTGTAAAAGCATAGCCATTTTTCTTTCTTTCTTTTTATCTCTACTGTACTGTACTGTACAGTATGCAAAAGAAAAAGAAAAGAAAAACGCCTTTTTTCTTTATCATGCATTTTATCCTACAGTACAATTTTCATTGTTCGTACGCATTGTTTTATGAGCCACCTATGCACTGTACGTACACTCATTCAGTACACGATAACAGTACAGTACAGTACAGTACTGTAGTACCGCACTGCTAGTACTTCCGACTGTAGATTTGTTGCCGTTGACACGGTGGTGGTACCGCCTAGAGACCGGTCTCTCTCTACTCCCCTAGCACGGCTGTGATTAATTGATATATCAAGACATACTGTAGGTTAAAATACAAGTACAAGCCATACATGGTCCCATATTACCGTATTAGTACAAAAATAGGTTCTACGTTGGTTCGTCAAGACAGTCGATGACGGAAAATAGCAAGACTGCAAGAGAAATACACCACCAGTTCTATCATACTGTGTATAATTTTGGAGAATGATTCAAAAATTTTCTCGGAATGTTCCTATCCATCTATTAATATGGCTAACATTTGGTAAGATAAACAATTTTATTAATTATGATATTTTAAAGCATGACGATAATTGGCGATGAATTTCCGTGTTATAAAATAGAATGCCATCTACTGTACAATAGTTCGAGCAAGAATAGAATAGCACTATATACAACCCTTTTCGATTTGGGGGGAAAAGGAGGGAGGATAAAAATTTTCTGTACAACAAAACCCGGATCCTATCTCCTTCTACATGAACTCTAGCGCTTTTTTCACTAAATTCTTTTTTAATAAAGCTTAATGTCCATACCGTACACTGTACAGTAACTTTTGTTATAGTTAATAACTTATTGTTACAACCAGCAAAATGTTTTTGACGCACCACCAATGATAATAGCTATTAAATTTATTATTATTATTCATCGCTACTAGGTATATTATATTATACGCTTCGCATCCTTTCCAAATCATAGGGATTAATGTAATATGATTAATCTAGCGTGATTTCGTTTGTACGTGCTAATCTCAGTACAATGCAGTTTTCAATTGTTTGCAGTCTACAGTCTCCTGTCGACCCAACATTCTAAACAGTCAAAAATCGAAAATATGCGTAAACAGTACTTTTTTTTCTCAATTATAGCGGGGATTCCCTTCCAGGGGAAAAAAAATTTGAGTTATAATCACCCAAAATTCTTCCACAATGTACAGTACATTACACTCGATGAAATTCAATGAATACTATCATTCTTACCTACAACTATTATGAAAGATAAAGTGGACATAGTAATTGTATGGCAGGCTTGACTTGCACAAGAAATCTACTTGCTTGGCAGTTACAGGAAATTGATTGATTTGAATTTTTATTTTATTATATTATTGATGTCGGTCGGACGTATTGAACGTCATTAGAAAGCGTACAGTAAAAACTCCTTTAGAGAGAGTTACTACTCAAATAAAGAAAAGGAAAGTAAATAGATAAGAAGTCAACATAATAGCCCAAGTTCCTTTCCGTAATTGAGTTTGAGTTTTCTACGTGCATTGGTTTCTGAGTTTATTTAGATTTCATTCGATTTATGCTGTACTGTATCATTTTGTCATCATGCTGCAAAACAAAAATGTAA